TTTGGTTCAGTGACTACATTGACATCTTGCATCTCCGATGGCACAGTCCCTACTGTCCAGTAGTAAATAAAAAGCTTGTTAGGTGGGGAAGAAGGTTTCCTGCACTTCTGCTGCTGATTGGCTGTAAGGGCTGCCTATCATAGGGTCCCGCCTCTCGGGAGCCAGCACTTGCTTTTCAGTAAGTTGCACCCCCCGCCCCGCTCCCCTTTGCAAATTTCATGGGCAATGCTGCATTTTGGGAAATCTGCAAAATCGTGATTCTGGTAGGTCCCTAGTTATGATAGAAGCAGAACTCCAACAGCCTTTGCAAATACAGTCTAGATAAAAGTACTGTAAGACTGATATATAACTAGATCATCAGTGGATCAATATCTTGTTGGGAAGAGATATCAAGTAGGGTTTCCCAGGGGTCTGACCTGGGTCTGGTACTGTTTAATATCTTCATTAATGATTTGAAAGATGGGAACAAGTGCATAGTTATCTGAAAATCTGCTGACATCAAGCTGGGGGTAGTTGCAAACACTTAAAGGATAGGATTAGGATTCAGCATAAATTTGACAAACTGGGAAAATGGTTCAAAATTAATTGAATTAAATTCAATAAGGGTAAGTGCAAATTCCCACACTTGGGGCAGAATATTCATGTGCTCATATTCAGACTGGGGAAGGACTGACTAGGATGTAGTACTGCGGCCAAAGACCAAGGGGTTACAGTAAACTATAAACTGAATACAGGTTAATAGTGTGCTCTCGAAAACAAGACCAATAGGCTGCTGTGTACTGCACTGTATTGTGGCTTGCAGAGGTATCGGATCTCCATGGACCCGGGGGTGGGGGGTGTTTGGTGGTGTGAGGCTTCACCCCTGCTGCAACTGGGTGCAGGGAGAAGTAGCAGCAGCTGGGTTCTACTGCTGGCCTACTTGGACCTCAACTGGGTCATTTCAGCCCACTGCGTGCTTCAAGAAAGATGTGGACAAATTGAAAAGAGTCCAGTGGAGAATATAAAAAATGACTAGAGATCTAGGAAACATGATTTACAAAGAAAGGAACTGGGATTATTCCATCTCGAGAGAAAAATACTAGCTCAGCCACTGACACGGATCTTTGAGAATTCGTGGCATTCAGGCAAACTGACCGAGGATTGGAAGAGGGCCAGTGTGGTGCCTATCTTCAAGAAAAGGAGGAAAATAGATCACGGGAACTACAGGTCCATCAGCCTGACCTCCATCCCCAGGAAGATCTTGGAGAAAATCATCAAAGAGACCATTCTTGACAAACTGGCTGAAGGCAACTTCTTGAGGGATAGCCAGCACAGGTTTGTTGTAGGTAGATCTTGCCTGACTAATCTCATCTCCTTCTACGACCAGGTGACATATCACCTGGACAAGGGAGAAAAGATTGACGTCATATATCTCAACTTAAAAAATTATTTCGATCTGGTATCCCACGATGGTCTTACAGAAAAACTGGCCAACTGCAGCCTCGGCTACATCACAGTCCACTGGCTGGGGAATTTGCTTCGAGGTTGGACTCAGAGAGTGGTAGTTGACGGAAGTCAATCATTGTGGTACACCATGACCAGTGGAGTCCCCCCAAGGCTCCCTCCTTGGGCCTATCCTTCTCAACATCGTCATTAATAATGTGGACATTGGTGTCAGCAGCAGACTGGCCAAGTTCGCTGGTGACACCAAACTTTGGGGTAAAATGTCCACACCTGAGGACAGGATGGTGATCCAGGCCGACCTTGACAGGCTCAGAAAATGAGCAGATGAAAACCTGATGGCCTTCAACTCCGAAAAATGCAAAGTACTCTACCTTGGGAAGAAAAACCCTCAGCATGCTTATAAGCTCGGCAGTGCTACGCTTGCTAGAACCATGGCTGAAAGGGACTTGGGGGTCATGATTGCTCACAAAATGAATTTGAGCCACCAATGTGATGTTGCAGCCGGCAAAGCGAACAGAACTCTGGCTTGCATCCATAGATGCTTCTTTAGCAAATTCCAGGATTACATCCTCCCACTGTACTTGGCCTTGGTGAGGCCGCAGCTGGAGTACTGCATCTAATTCTGGGCTCCACAATTTAAAAGCATGTGGAATAGCATGAGAGAGTCCAGAGAAGAGCCACGTGCATGATCAGAGGGCAGGAAAACAGGCCTTATGGTGAGAGGCTAAGAGCTACGGGACTCTTTACGAGCGCTTGTGGTGCTCGGGCCAGGTGCCAGATGATTGGAAGATAGCCAATGTGGTCCCCATCTTCAAAAAAAGGGAGGAGGGAGGACCTGGGCAACTATAGGCCCGTCAGTTTTACCTCAATCCTGGGGAAACTCTTTGAGAAGATCACCAAGGAACACATCTTTGATGGGCCGGCATTGGGGATGATGCTCAAGGGCAACCAGCATGGTTCCATTAGGGGCAGGTCATGACCATGTCAGACCAACCTGATTGCCTTTTACGATCAGGTCACAAAAGCATTGGATGCAGGTGTCGCCGTGGATGTAGTCTTTCTGGACTTCACCAAGGCCTTTTGACACCCCATCCTCATTAAAAAACTAGGTGACTGTGGCATTGATGCCTACATGGTCAGATGGATTGCAAACTGGCTGAAGGTTCGTACTCAGAGGGTGGTGGTGGACGGGTCATATTCAACCTGGGGGGAAGTGGGCAGAGGAGTCCCCCAGGGCTCGGTCCTTCGGCCCGCTCTGTTCAATTTCTTTATCAGCGATTTGGACGATGGGGTGAAAAGCAACCTGTTCAAATTCACTGATGATACCAAAATCTGGGGTGAGGTGGGCACATTAGTAGGGAGGGAAAGACTGCAGAAAGACCTGGATAGGTTGCAGGGGTGGGCTGACAAAAACAGGATGCGTTTCAATACGGACAAGTGCAGGGTGCTGCACTTGGGCAGTAGTAACCGGCAGCACACTTATAAGATGGGAAACTCCCTTCTTGAGAGCATGGAGGCTGAAAGTGATCTTGGAGTCATTATTGACTCCAAGATGAACATGGGCCAACAGTGCGAGGTCACAGTCAGCAGGGCCAACCGGACCCTATCATGCATCCACAGGTGCATCTCAAGCAGGGCCAAGGAGGTGATCCTCCCCCTCTACGCGACACTGGTCAGGCCGCAGCTGGAGTACTGTGTCCAGTTCTGGGCACCCCACTTCAAGAGGGATGTGGACAACATTGAGAGGTCCAGAGGAGGGCCACCCACATGATCCGGGGACAGCAGGGCAGACCCTACACTGAGACGCTACGGGACCTGAACCTGTTCAACCTCCACAAGAGAAGGCTGAGGGGGAACCTGGTGACAGTCTATAAACTCACTAGGGGGGACCAGAAGGGTTTGAGGGAGACCTTGTTTCCCCTAGCACCCCCCAGGATAACCAGGAATAACAGGCACAAGTTGTTGGAGAGTAGGTTCAGATTAGACATCCGTAGGAACTACTTCACAGTTAGGGCGGCTAGGATCTGGAACCAACTTCCAAGGGAAGTGGCTCTTACCCTGGGGGTCTTTAAGAAGAGGCTTGATGCCTACCTGACTAGGGTCATTTGAGCCCAGTTTTCCTCCTGCCCAGGCAGGGGGTTGGACTTGAAGATCTACAAGGTCCCTTCCGACCCTACTTCTATGATTCTTCAGCTTGGAAAAGCGCAGGCTCAGGGGGGACGTGTTGGTTGCCTATAAGTATATAAGGGGTATACATCAGGATCTGGGGGAACGTTTGTTCACCAGAGTGCCCCATGGGATGACAAGGTCAAACGATCACAAAGTTCTCCAAGACCATTTCAGGCTGGACATAAGGAAGGACTTCTTTACAGTCCAAGCCCCCAAGACCTGGAACCAACTGCTGCCAGAGGTGGGGCAAGCACCTACTCTGGATTCCTTTAAGAGTCAATTTGACATTTATCTTGCTGGGATCCTGTGACCCCAGCTGACTTTCTGCCCCTGTGGCAGGGGCTGGACTCGATGATCTTCTGAGGTCACTTCCAGCCCTAATGTCTATGAAATCTATGAAACACAGGCAAATGAACAGGTTATCACCGGGGTGTAGACTTCCAGCGTGGCAGCTGCTCTGCCATGATTGCCTGCATGCATGTTCCACAGTAAGTGTAGGGTGGCTTCTCCTTCATTAAGAATGCTAAATTAATTTCTGGATTGCCCAGAAATATAAGTAGTCTTTGGCCTGAGAAGGGGTGTAAAATGTTCTTGTTACTTGTATTCTAGGTATCTTGCTCTGGAAAGTGCCTGGCACTCCCATTTGTCAGTGAGTTCAGTTGCAGGAAGCACTCAACTCCTTATAACAGGGTGGATAAAAATCAATGATTTTTTTAATTTAAATTGGATTATTTTTTTTAATCATCAATAAAATACTAAATTTCTCTCTTGTTTAAAAAATAACAGTTACAATTAAATCATCACAAACATGCTGAACCTATACTTACAGTCTCATAAACATGAATTAATGGCTCTGTCACACACACACATATTGAGTTACCTACCAATCAAACATGGGCATTCATTTAAGTTTTTCATCTCATGAAAATGGCTCAAGTCTGTCCAGTCTAACTACCAGCTCTTGCCTCTTGAAAGTTCTGGGCTTTCAGTTTCTGTTTCTCAGCCGACTAAAGTCACATGTGCAAAGACAGGCTAGATAAGATTGCTGTTCTGTGCTTAGGTGGTGGCAGAGCTGGGCCAAGCAAGGCAGAGGAGTTAGTTAAGACTGTCTTAAAGACAGAGCAACAATATAGGAAAGGACGGAGGCAGAGTAGAAAGCAACAGTGGAGTGAACTGGAAAGAAAACGGGGAGACATTATTCAGTAGTACAAACACACAGCTTCCTATATTTCCCAACACATTTGCCACAGAAAAACTATCATGGCTTCTAGGCGTAAGGGAAACCCTATCTGAGAATATTTTGAAGAAATTACTTCCCTGGATAAAAAAGGAAAATGTGTCAAGTGTAAGCAGTGCAAGAAGGATATGCAAGGCCTAGTTGCAAGAATGAAACATCATAATGAAAACTGCTTATTGGGAGAAAATGATGTGGATGAAGATGTGGACATGTCTGAAGAACAATGTGGATCAGCTGGTTAGTAAACTAAATAATTCACCTTGCAATGTATTATTATTCAAGACTCTTTATGCCTTTTAGTATAAGTGTGATTTAATAAGGACATTCCCAAGCTGTTTGCTATGTTGGATGTTGCTAGGAAAAAAAGTTTAACTTAGCCAATCCTTATGGCTTGTTTAATTAGTTAACTAGGTTTAGAATCTATCACCCAAGTTTATGGTACAGAAAGCTGCAGTAAGAGAAATCTAGAGTTGCCAGTTGCTACTGGGTGTCATTTTCTTATTTTACATTACATAATACATGCCCCTTAGTTTGGAACATCATGGCCCCAGACCATAATGGTGATGCCATAAGTCTATTCCCTATTTTACTTCAGCGTAACTCAACTTTTCCAAGGGAACCCCATCCTATACTTGTTTTCTCTAAAAACAGAAGCCAGTGAGTTCAATGGGGCTTAGTCCAGAATTAAGTGCACTCTAAGTGCAGTCAGTCTTAGCTTTTTTGGTAATTTGGAATCAGATCTGCATCCTTGCTGGAAAAAATATAAATGATTAACTGAATAATAGAGTGAGAAGAACTGAGAAGAATGATTATTCAAAAACTGTTTTTGTTTGAGGATCCCATTTAAGCATAAGAGACTGACTGTCTATCTGCAACAACTTCAGAATCATCCGTTGGTACTTTTAGCAGCATTGCTGCAGCTAAACACTTTTTTGTCTGAAATGTATCAGTAGCAAGCAAAATATTTCAATCATCCAGTAAAACCACCACCGTGGATGGGTTTGTAGTAAGGACCAGCAAATACCAACAAGACCCCATAGATGAAAAGATTGCTTGGTTCATCTATGCCACAAATTCTCCTTTTTGCATTGTTAACAATAAACACTTCATTGACATGGTTGAGTCCTTACGACCAGGCTACACACCACCTGGTAGGGCAGACATTGGTGGAAGGTTGCTAGATAGTGTATGAGAAGGAACTTGAACAGCGTGCAAGAAATACTGAGGGGAAATTTGCCAGTTTAAGCCTTCATGGGTAGAGCAATGTACACAATGATCCAGTAATATGTGCCTGCGTGACAACAGAATATGGGGTTGCATATCTTTCAGAAACAATAGATACATCAGGAAATGCCCACACAGCAGAATATTTAAAAATGGCAGTGAAAGTTGTAATAAACTGAGCAAAATTTCAACTGTCACGTGCACAGTTTTGTCACAGACAATGCTGCAAACGTGGCAAAGATGAGAAGATACATAGAAGAAGAAATGGAAGGATGCTCCTTAATAACATGTGCCTGCAGTGCCCATTGAATGCATCTTTTAGCCAAAGACTGAAGTACTTCTTCAGGAATAAAAGAAAATGTTGACGTTGCAAAATACTTCCGTAAGAACCATTTTGCTTCAGCTTGACTGAAGCGAGCAGGAGGATCCAAACTAATTCTCCCTCAAGATGTTAGATGGAATTCTGTGGTTGATTGTTTTGAACAACTGATTAAGAACTGGCCTATTCTCATAACAATTTGTGAAGAAAACCAGGATAAAATGGATGGAAACATCTCACCCAAAATATCTAACATTGGATTAAAGAGGAATGTAGAGGATATGCTCAGTATACTGAAGCTTATATCCATAGCCTTAAACAAACTTCAGAGAGATTGTTGCTGCATTGCTAATGCTGTTGAAATTTGGAAGGCGCTTCAAGAGACTTTGAAGAAAGGAATACCTAACCAGAAAGTTAACCTGCAGGCAATAAAGCAGCAAAGGGATCAAGCACTAACTCCACCTCATTTTTCTTGCGAACGTTCTCAATCCCAGATATAAAGGTAGATGCCTAACTTGTGAAGAAGATGATGCTGCCATAGCATGGGTATCTCAAAATCACTCCTCAGTTATGCCAGTCATAATAAATTTCAGGGCTGGAAGGGAGCCATTTAAACAGAACATGTTTACTGATGATGTTTTGAACAAAGTCCCCTGAATTGATGGAAATCATTAGCCAGGCACCTTGAAAAGGAGTTCCTTCAGTTGCTAAGCCAACTTTTCACAGCAGTAGCTTCCTCTGCAGGCCCAGAGAGAATATTTTCATCATTTGGTATTATTCACTCAAAGCTAAGAAATAGACTGGGAGTTGAAAAAAGCAGGAAAACTTGTATTTCTGTTTCAGTCTGAATAAAAATGATAGTAGGAGTGGGGAAGATGAGATCTAGTTGTAGAAGTTTTAAGGACAGCGTACGTTTAGTGTTGTGATGACTTGTCTGTTAGAGTTAATAAAATATGAAAATAAAAAAAAAAAGTTTAAGGACAGATGTTGTAAAATGCTGTATTGAGTTGTAAATTACTATGTTTTAGTGATCAGATTTGCATCATTGTTTAAGAAATATGTGAAGAAGTATCAGCGGGAAACGTGTTTTAAATCAGTCATTTAAATCGGGGGGGGGGGGTTTGGTGACTTAATCATGATTTAAATCAATGATTTAAACCGCCTTCATTTAAATCAATCCACCCTGCCTTATAATACTGGACTTAGACTTTGTATATACAAGTTGTGCTTTTACTGTACTTACGTTGACAAGTTGGATTGCTCAGTAGGTTCGTCATATAACGTGGTAGCAAGTCTCTGCTGCTATGACTGGGTTTTGGGTCTTATCATATTTTTAGAACTAGAATAAATTATAGTTTAAAAAAATCAAGTAACTGGAATAAGTGCTTCTAATTATTTATCACCCTTCTCTTGCTCAAAGCTATACAACTAGTTTAATATTTCAGTGCTAAGAAAATATCAATAAAATGTGAAAGGATTTATGTCACTATAATAAATCCACAACTAGAAAACACACAGGTTTTGTAAGTGTTATTTGCCATATGTGCTTTCAAATGACTATTTATATTTTTTCTGAATGTGTAAATTTTTGTGCTGTTTTATCAGCATGTATAGAGGCCCTCTTGGATTTTATGCTGAAACTCAATGCTGTGCCATCTGAGGCACTTTTTTTCCTCAGCTGTTGAGAGAAAATTGTAGATGTTTTACCAGTTAAAAACAGCAAATTGATTTATGGGTTTTTTTTATAAAAAATTAATGGATTTGTATAGTCCTTCATGTTGGGCATGAGGAACAAATCTCATATGCAAGATATTGAACATTTCTTACATTTTAATGGCTGATTTTTTTTTTTTTTTTTTTTTCCTGTAAGCATCTGGATATTTTTTGGTCTGGTTACCCAGACCTTTGGTGCTTTATTTTCATTCTGTACAACAGAAATGATATTTTAATTTCCAGTAAGTCGGTTTGTCCACTAGATGTCCTCAGTTCTTTAAGCTACAAAACGATGGTGTTTAAGTATAAGGAGTGTCTAACTGATTTCTGAATATTAATTGTAGACCTTAAAGAATACAAGTTTCCTTTTTGCTTTCTTACACTTAATACATTTGTTTTCATAAACTACTAAATACAGTTTTGTAGCTCGTGTAAGTATACTTCAGATGCATTTCCTGCTCACTGTGCAGATAATGTACAGTGTGGTATTTTAGCCAGCCTCATGTTTCTTATTTTAGGTATAGCATGTTAGTTCTGCAAAACTTCTTTAACAAAATATAAAGGGGATTAAATTACTGTACTGAGAGTTATATGAGATGCCAAAACTTGACCTTTTTGAGCTAAAACCTTTAACATTCAGTAACTTTATGATTCTTGATGCTAACATTTTTCCATTTTTCTTGAAGGGTGCTAAGTTTGGAGTTAAATAAAGACAGAGATGTGGAAAGAATCCATGGGAGTGGTATTAATACCCTTGATATTGAGCCTGTTGAGGGAAGATAGTAAGTGTATTTATCTTGTTATCAGATTACATTAATCAATTACACTTAAATATTTTGCTGTTAAATTTTTGCTATCTATTATAAAGCTGTATAATTATGGAAATATTTCCCTGCAGGATATGAACCTTCAATTACTTGAAGATTGAGATAATAGGATATCTCAACATGTGTATTTGTTTTTCTAGCATGTTATCAGGTGGATCAGATGGTGTTGTTATACTTTACGACCTTGAAAACTTCAGCAAAAAACCTTGTTATACATGTAAAGCAGTTTGTTCTGTGGGCAGGTACGTACCTTTTAAAACTCCATATAAAATTGTTTTATCATACCAACACTATGGTGGCAGCGTGGCAGCTTTCTTTTTATTAAATGTATACAAATTCATGGTCTTTTGAGGGCAGCTCAGTGGGGAAGATGCTGAGTATCTCTGTAAGGATCTGTTGTATGATAAATGGTTCTAACCCAGATGCCAGCCTCTCTCTCTTGTATTTTTACTTTAATCAATTTCAATGTTATGTCAATAAAACTAGGAAAATAATTCTGGGATGGCTATTCCTGACTGGGTTTTGAAGAAACCATTTATGCGTACAGCTTTGTTTCTAGACAAAAAGAAAATAACCAACACATCACTATTCGGGGAATTAGAAAGAATCTAAAATAGATCTGCAAGTTACTTGTGAAATTGTGGGGATGACAAACTATTTTTAGGTCTCTAATTAGTTATATGCAGACAATAATATGGAACTTGGTAAAGGCATGCTTGAATAATGATAGGCAGAGTGGAAAATCCATAACTTTGCTAAGATGACATTCAGCAACTGGGATTGGCAGCATCTAGTCCATGGTCCAGATCTGGCCTGTGGAGCTGGAGGGCTTCAATGGCCAGGCACTGGGGCAGTAGCTGGGGTCTTAGAATCCCTCAGACCTAGTGTTGGGTCCATTTTTTGTGAGTATGTCTGAATGGCTTTGTCAAAGCTGTCCAACTTCTGAATGGCTGGGGGCCCACAGCCCCTTGGCCACATGGTGTGTGGGCTGTATTCTGGGCCATGTAACCCCTCTCCGACAGCACCATACTATGCTGCATCACATGTGCCCCCCCAAAACACACAATGCATGCACCATGCTGCAGAGCACACACCTCAGGTCCCCCTGAAGTCTCCAACTGTAGGCTTTCTCATCCCCATAGACTGTGCTGCCTTGCCCCATGCCATCACTAGGGGTGGGGGAAGGCAGCAATAGCTGGAGGAGGAAGTGGAGCCTTGAGACTCCAGTGCCAGCAACAGGAGAGCAGTGGAAGGAACAGAACCTGAACTGGGACCCTGGGGGCCATGAGTTTAATCGCTCAGGTGCTGGATGTGGCTTGCAGGCCTCCAGTTAGAAAACACTGGCCTAAGTAATATTATTTTATTAGATTGTGAGAACCTTTATAATAGATAGCAAAAATGAAGCTGTAACTGACAGTTCTATCTGTCTGTTGTTTCACTTAGGATATTAATGTTATATGATTTTTTTGTGATTTTCAGTGGTTGAAGTATTGAAGCTTTTTCTATTAAGCTTCTTACTGAAGCTGAAAATAATCTGTATTTAAGATTCTTAATAAAACTTTGATTTCTCTCCTTTCCCTCCCATCTTAATGCAAATTGTTAGGAGGAGGGTCTGGACGGTGTAGGTGGGGAGAGGTTTTTTTTTTTTTTTTTTTTTTTTTTTTTTTTTGAAGGATTTTGTTTCCAACTATTAGTAGAGATGTAGTTGTACAATCCTGTAAAAGGGGCACAGTTTGATTATTCTTAATTACATGCTGGTTAACGCTTGATGATTTTATGAACAGATAACATGATTTAATATTACTATCTGCAGATAATCACTAAGTGGCCAAATTCTTCAAACTTGTGTATATAAAACTACTGTGTAATGCCTTTCTAAGCAGGTGAGATTTACTATGGTTGCAACTGTTTGTCAAGTCAGGCTCTAAAGAAAAGATCAAAGCCTACATTTTCAAGAGTGATAGTGACTTCAGTGTCCAACTTGAGACACCTTAAAGTGGCCCTATTTTGAGAGGGTAGATTCTGGATGCTTTCTCAAACTCAAGTATCTTTAAGGTGATTTTAATTGATAACTCAAAAATTAAGGCCCCCAAATCACTTGTGAAAATGTAGACATGCTGGTTTAAATATATATTAAAGTAGTTGAAATTTTGGTTCTTGATGATTTTTGAAACAAATTTACTACTGACCTTAATCCATGCAATTTTGTTACTGCATTATAGAAGCCATCCTGATGTACACAGATTCAGCGTAGAGACAGTTCAGTGGTACCCTCATGATACTGGCATGTTCACATCAAGCTCGTTTGATAAAACACTGAAAATATGGGATACAAACACACTACAAGTAAGTATTTTTTGTAATTTATAGGCCTTTCGGATGTAGAAGGCCTGCAATACCTATTGAACTTAGTGAGACTTAGCAGCATTTAGAAAGATGGAAAATGGCAGGTTGATAGGATTCAAAACTTTATAAATAACACATAGCAGCAACAGTAGCTCAGCCATTTTTAGACCTCCTTGTGTGCCTCAGACTTCAGAGTATTTGTGACTTTATATTCCTGGACCTTTCTCCATTGTCTATCCAGAGGAAAGTTACTAAAGCTAGGTGTTCTTGATGGATGCCTACCAAGAACTTGTCTGAGACTAGCTTATTTCCTAGAGGTTGCTGAACACACATTGAAGGATATTACTATATTATTTTATTTTGTGTAGCACCTGAAATGTACTTAAGAATCAGTTTTGTTATAAACAAAATATGAATGTTGTCTTTGATGGATTACACCTCTTGTGAGGGAGAGTATCATATATATAAAGCAATAGGAATATGGAAATGGAATTGAATCCAGTTCCTTATAGTCACAAGCACTGCATCAGATGATGTCTTTCAGAAATTCATAAAAATAATAATGATAAATGATAATAGGAAAAATGCTAAGCAGTTTCTTAGGACTTTATTAAAGTTTGCATATTACAGGATTTTAAACTACTGAAAAGTAGCCGTGACATTTATAGATGATATCTGACCTTTATCCCTTGTCTTCTTGTATCAGTGTGTTTACTTGGACTTTGTCTGACTTTATCTTTTAAATGGGAAAACAAATCTGATAATTCCTAAAATAAATCATACATAGCATTAAATGCTTTAAGCTCTACATTTGAATAGCTGTAATTGTTAAAATCTCCAAAGTACAGTTGTCATATACCAAAAAACATTAAAACATGAATTGTTTAGAAACCTCAAGCATAAGCACATGTATTGAAGTGCCTAAGTCCAAAAATTCAAGTCAGGGTTTCTTCCGAGTTTAATAGCATTAACTTGGACATGTAGCACATGCTATATTCTTTTAATGGCTTATATTTAGGCCTGTGACGAGTAATACAGAATCCATTTCAAGAGCCTATATAACATGGAATACAGGGACTCACTATGTAAAATATGTGACCAGTTCCTAGTCTTCAAAGCTATGTGATATTCCAGTTTAACCCCTCACTATTGCCTCCACTCTTGTTGATACCCAAAACATTGTTTACTTCTGGTTTATGGTGTTGGGGGAGGTTTTATTTCATGTGTTTTTGGAGGAGGAAGATAGCCTGTTTTTTCTGATATTTGCAGAGAGACTGAGAGATTTGCCTTTGCTATTATTATTGCTACTTTTCTTCTCTATACCCACCTTCTTACTTGCTAGTTTTTCTTTCTTCATTATTTAACTTGTAACTGCTTCAAAGTGTTTTCATTCATGCTTTTGATCAAACACCTTTTTCCAGATACCTGTTGCTATGTCACCTACAAGTCTTGCTACTGTTAGATGCATAGTACTGGTAGAAGAATATTTCACTAAATAAAATTTGTGTGATTGGGCACTAAGCCCATTGAGTTATTGTTAGGATACAAGTAAACTTGTCACATTAACTTGGAAAATACTTAACCAGTTTTAAAGAAAAGATGATTTTTATGAAGGTGCAGACTTAACAAATGTCTTTTAATTATCAGCCTGCAGATATATTTAATTTTGAAGGAACAGTTTATAGCCATCACATGTCTCCTATTGCTACCAAGCACTGTTTGATAGCAGGTGTGTATGTATTTTTTTTTTTTTAAGTTCTTACTGATTTTTAGGTTGTAGTAAAAAGCAAGTGATCATTCAAAATTAGCATTTCTTTTTTGTGACTGTTTTTCTATGTAATTGCTCTACCTATTTTTCAAGCAAATAATTTCTTTCATAAAATAAGTCCTTCATAAAATAGGTACTTTTAAAATCATATCTTTTCAGTTGTACTTATATTATTTATGAAAAGAGTAGTACTTTTACAGTTCTGAAATGAGCAAACCATACAATTCACAGTTGGCATGGTTCTAATTGGCATGGTTCTGATCCAGTGTTCCTAGTTATGCACAAATCAGTTTGCACAGAAATTACCTTTTTGGTTTTACTTCTTTGGGGTGTCTATACAGGTGCTCCAATGCATTCTGATTAATCAAGTCTGCTTGTTTAGAGCACTCCAGTGTGCTGGAGCATCTTGTGTATTTAGTGTCCTGTGTTTCAAACTGGCAGTGAGGGTACTTTAACTAAAGCTCATTGAACAAGCTTTAGTTAAAGTGCCTCTGTGGTCATTTTGGAACATGGGACATTGAATACATGAGCCACTGTGGCATTTTAGTTAGAGCGACTCCTGAAAGATGCTCTAATTCAAACACGTTCCCCCCCCACCACACACATGCTAGAGTGTGTGTGTGTATAGGCACCCTTGGATTTGAACAATATGTATTATTTTCTGGTGCTCAATTTACTGTTGTCTACTGAATAATCTTCAAAGATGAAATTGTATTTGTAATTCTTAAATATGAAAAGTATGCTATTTTTTTTTATAGCCTCTAATCATATTTTTAATGTTAAAATTAAATAGGTGAGCATACAGAGACTTAGGCATTGTAGTTGCAACGTGTTTTTTTTTTAATTGATTTATAAATCCATATGACACATCAATTTACTTGGACCAAATGTGTGTGAAATGTTATGAAGCTGGCGTTTTCACTCACATTTTTTTTTGTTAGATTTGTTAGACTTTTTGTCTTGTTTCAAAAGTTGGTGTTTTAAGCCCCCTTGTTTTTCTTGTTGCAGTTGGTACCAAAAGCCCTAAAGTACATCTCTGTGACTTGAAGTCTGGATCCTGTTCTCATATTCTGCAGGGTACTTTCCAATCTGAACCATAAATGTTAAACAATAACTACTTTGAGTAAACGAAGCAGTGTAAAGTGACATTGTAAACAATGTATTCTTTGTAAACACATGACTAATGTATTTAGTGCCAGTTGTAAAAATTACACAGTGAAAAAGGTTCTTCTGTGTATTATTCTAGTGCTGCTAAATTAGAGAACACAAATATCAATTAAAAAGCAGCTATCATTATAAGATTTTGGCACTTTCATAATAAATCCTCACCTAGCTCTTTCTTAAATCCTGATCCAGTAGAATTAATATTTGTTTTAAAATTGTTTTGGGATAGTGTTCCTGCACACTCACTGCGTGGGCTACTTTTTTGAAAAATACATAATATTTTTAGCTAAGTATCTTTTAGAGCTGTTGTGTGGATCTGCTTTTCTTTAAGACTGACTTCCGTGGTTGTCCTTGGAAAGTAAGGTATTACTTGATATAAGGGGAACAATACCTAACCTTTTCAATTTACCTAATGGAGGAAGTCTTAGAGTTCTATACTTGTGAAAGGCTTAGGGCTTTCAGTGTTGGCTGTTCCCTGACAACTTGCTACAATTGCTTTCTCTAGTTACTTGGAATAAAATACTATAGGATACTTTGGATTAAAGCTTCTAGCATTTATTTTTTTTAAATTGCCTGGATATTTTAAATGTATTAGGTTATTTCCTTTATAATACATTTTTAAAGGAAATAATGTTGGATCACCAAAAGGGAAATGACTCAACACAGCTGTAGCAAAATATACATATGATCTGACCAACTTTTCCTTAATAATTATTATTGGATGCACAGTAGCAATACCTGTATTTGTTACTTGATGCTTCCTTTTGTTTACAGTTTCTCTAATCATCTCCTTGAAGTGTTCAGACACTAATATGGTTTGTAAGTGTAGTGTACTCCATTTAAATGCATTGACCTGGGACTGTAAAGGCTCTTCATGCACCTGAAAACAGTGTAAAATGTAAAATACGCTTAATAAGAAAAACAAGAAAAACCTGTGCTAAGGTCTTTGCACTTAATTAAGACTCATTAATGTGTTTGGAATAGTTTATGACTTATACCAGGCTGATCAGTTCAGAGCTCCTAAACTGTTTCACCAATTATACAGTTAACTGAAATAGAGTGAGGCCCCCTCTGTCTTACGCTGCAATTAACATGTTAAATACAACAAAAATGGCAGGGGTACACCCAATTTAAGGTGCCATAAAATGGCAAACTAGCCAGAACAAAATTGTTCTGCATATAATGTTCTACATAGAACATTTTATTAGCTGGTTTGTATGGTACCTTAAATAAAATGTGTGGCAGATCCTGGGCAACCATCAGCTGATTACTGGCTCTGGCCGGGGCCTGCACTGAGGTCTGAAACTGGTCCCAGGTTTCTAGGGACCCTGGTTTTTGGCTTGCCTGTACAAGGGAAGCCTGAGATTGTGATCCTGCGCCTTAATAGCAACGGATCAATCCCAGTGGCTTTATCAGTGCAAGTCTTTGGTTGCAAGTGAAGAATTATAAGCTCATATTTGTTAGTGAAGTGTAGAAAACTACAATTGGTATTCTGCATATCGTTTTCAGGTGATTCCCACAGAAGCTACAGGAAAAAACGGGAAACTGTCCATAATTCAAAATAGAAAATAAACTTGTTGCATTCACCAAATCAATATTGTAATATAAGCACTTCATGAATTATTAGAGGAACATGGAGAGGGGTTTGTCTTTCTACATGTTAGTTATTTAGATCAAAAATGTTGTTTATCAGTAAGTAGTACTAAGCTTTTTAAGCTTTCTCAAATGATCATATTTTTAGGTCACAGACAGGAAGTGCTAGCGGTATCTTGGTCACCACGTTATGAACATGTGTTGGCAACTGCAAGGTAAAAATCATTCCTTTAATATTGATGGGAAGTATTAAAGAAAATATTTTAAATAGATTTTCTAAACAGAATAAATGTATTCATGCAGTGGGTTTGGGAATCAAAGTTTGCATTAGTATTTGTTGTAGCCATTATATTGTAGATCCTGGATGGAAAAGGCTTGAAATGTAGAGCTGTTCAAATGGTGCTTTAACTTGTCTGTAAGTAGAGTGGTATCCCCACTTAGTGTTCCTTAGGCATTTTCATTCTAAAAGATGCTCTTTAGTTTTGTATAACTTGCAGACTTGAACTTTTGGGTTGAACTGGGCAGGTTTCTTCTTTAGTTCATGTCTGGTACTTTTCCAGAACTTTGGATAAAATTAATTTGTTTCATTGCCTGAGTGTGTGATTTGAGTGAGAAAGTTGATCTTAAAGTTGTATAATCTCAAATGTGATTTTGAATTTGGGGAGGTGCTTTTTGTTTTTTAATTGAGCAGCTCAGGAGTTTTATATCCAGATGTTTTATTACAATGGAAAATACAGTTTCTGCGAAAATAGACATTTTTGACAAGAACACTTTAGTTTTGCCGGAATTTTAATTTTTTTCCTTCAGGATAAATCATATCAAAATATTTCATTCAGAACTCTTCAGCTTGAATCAAAATATTTTGATTTGTTGAACCTGTTTGAGACATTTTGATTTAAGTTGGTTTTACATGGAACTGTACCTCCTCGTGTTACCTCATGGCTTCTGAGATTTGCAATTTGTCTGCCTTGTCCTTCCATTTTCAACTGTAGGCTAAGCTACTTGCCTGGACTACATTTTGCATGTTATGACCTAAATTTCTAGAGGCGTACCAATAGATCAATGGCATATCAGATCAGCACTGACAAATGGAAAATTAACGTTATTGGCTTTTTTTGGCTGGTGTAGCCAGCATTAGCTTTAGTAAGGAAAAGCTTTGCCGTTCAGAGTTTTAAAGTAGCAGTCTTTAACAAGGTGTGGGCCAGAGCAACTCGGTTCCAGTTTGGTGAAGACCTGGCAGCATTGGTGGCACATTAGCAAAGCTGCCAGGCACTGTCCGGCCTACATGCTGGCTCTGAAACATCAGTATCTTCCTGCTGCTGGGCCCTAACCCAGCTCCTTGCTGCATGGTCTGTCTGTGGAGCCCTTCAGCTTCATGGGCCACATCAAGTGGCTTTGCTTGTCAGATCCGGCCTGTTAGCCTATATTCCTGACCCCTCTTTTAAATGTCAAAGACACTAAAAAATTGCAGTAAGGTTATTAACCTTAGGGAACTTCTGAAACTGCAGATGTTCCTAACACATTTAATACCAGATTTCTTTGTCCTCTGAAGGTTCTAGTTTACAATCTAACATCCTTGACATCAAATATTTTTGTTAATGAATTAATTTATAGTTAGCATTTCTACAACTGCTGCTTAAATCAGAGAGAGATGATATGCATAGAACTTTAAAATTAATTAAAATTATTACAATAAGCACAACCATGTGCTCAAATATACATATTTAAGAATATTACATCCTTTATAATGGGGGTAGTCCAGCTTCTGAATGGCTGGGGGCAACATGCAGCACAGCTTCTCACATTTCCCTCTACCACGTGATCCCAAAGAAGCCAGTATTGCTGGGGAAAAGAAGGATTTTTTTAACAGAATAGTTGAGCAAAGGCTTCTGAATAATACAGGTATCTGAGAGCCCTCCATGCTGCTGTGGGACACTTCATGCACCCCAGCACCGCAGTGGTCACAAGCTACACTGCTACCTCAAGGTATGTAGAAAAAACTTAAGCTGTGCCTGCGTCCGAATCGCTGATTCACCGAATCAGCATCGAATCATCAGATTCAGATTTGGCTGAATCAGATCAGGGACAGTGATCCGAATCAGCAGATTGAATCGCTGTCCCTGATTCAGGCTGAATCCGAATCAGAATCAAATAGGGCCCATTTTGCACAGCCCTACTAGCCACCTTTCTCTATACTGATGTAATATAAATAGATTAGCACTGAAGTCCAAACAAAGTGTCTGGCCAAACGTTTACCTAAGTTCCGAGGCAGGTTTTGCAGCCTGTACTGGGTTCTATATTGCTGTGGCTATGGTTATCAGTACCAGCAATAGCTAGTTTAAAGCTAGCTAGGATATGTTTGCATGAGGTGCAGTCATACTTTTGCCCACAGCACAGGCATATCCTAAAGTGAGGGTTCCCAAGCTATGGTATGCATATCCCTGGGGGTATGCAAGACATCTCTGAGGGGTACGTGGGAGAAATTGTGTAATGGTAGATTTAATTTTCACTATAATAATTGGCATTTAAGGTGTTAAAATATAAAATGTTTGTTGGTAGGAGTACACAGCTAGTTGGTAAATCTGAAAGGGGGTATGTAACAGAAAAAGTTTGGGAACCTCCGTCCTAGAGCATCTGAAGAACAGTTTATAAAGACCTTCCAAAATTAACATATCGAAGATGTCTGTAACCTGATTTTTTGCGTTTTAAACATGCCTTTTGTGAGATTCTTTGTTCTAAATAAGTTAAACTTTGCATTAAGAAATAGGTTTGATTGTTCTTTTCCTTTATTGCTGCCATGAGGGAACAACAGAGCATCCCTGAGAGAAGGGTGAATTGAACAAGACTGAGGCAAGGGGGAAGGGTTACAGAGGTACAATTTGCCCAGTAATTGTAATATGGCCCTTGTATAGGTGGGGGAAATTAAATTTTATTTTGCAAGAAGTATAAACTCTCCAGATTTCTTTGTTGTGATACCACCAGAGAAATGCCAAACACAAAAGAGTAAGAAAATTTCCATTTGCTGAAAAAGTTTAATTATTAAGTGATAGGGCATGACCTTAGAAATATGTGATTCAAGGCCTGCATAAATAGGGCTGTAAATAATTTTCCAAGGACATTATATAGAATTGAATTAACTTTCCAGATGCAAATTCCTATTGTTACCAAAAGCAAAGAGAACAATTGTGGCTGTATATCATCGCTTACAAAATTTGGGGGTTTGGGGTTTTTTTTAATATTAATCTTGAAAAGCCAACTTGGGTGTTGTCCAAGCTTGTCATTCACTCTATGGCTTCTATTGAAATAATGAATCACAGCTGTTCCTCTAGAAAAGAATCTTAGAAGGCAGTGATGTTCCTGTTTTGAATATCTTGAATGTGGGGGGGCTGTTTTCCATTTGTGCTGTTGCTGGATCCTACAGATTGTGTTCATAGAGAAGTTTCTAAAGGCAAGTCTTAAGAAACATAATCATTATTTTTATAATCATGAAGAGAACCAAACACATGATGGGGGTGACAGATTTGAGGCTGAAATATTCTAAATGTGCTATGAATACAAATGTCCAAAAGCAGGAGATTTTGATCACAGTAGCAGTCCTAGGAACTTACTACATTTCTAGCTCTGGAGGAAGTTGATAGTATTGTTTTTGTCAGTAAGTACAGCAAATCCTACAGTATTTTCTTATAGTATCCTTAACTTTGGTTTAGCAACCTGCCAAATGAGTAGAGTTCCTTAATACTTTAATTTTAAAAGTTTAAACGAAGTATTGCCCCTTTATTATTGTTAATTATTAAGAAATAAATGGGACTTCACATTATGCTAGTAAGGACCATCCCTGTATCAAAGAGCTTGTCACTGAATGATGCTGGTAGATAAGCAAGTATAAAAATACTGGACTACTGCTGCTTACCACTTCTGCTGTCAATCGGATTTATGGTTGTGGCTGTTCTCTGAATTTAACAATCAGCTATTTATAGCATCCTAGTCACTGCCAGTATCCACTTCACCTGTTTTAGTGCCAGGCTCAGTGAGGACAAAGTGGATCCATGTTTCAACAGGTTTAAGATAGGGCAGCCATGTTAAAAATACATATTTTAGAATGTGTTTGGTTACAGAATATGCTTCCACAGGAAATTAGGCTAGCCCTGCCTGAAATTCAGGCCTCCAGAAAGTTCCAAGCAACATCTGTTTAAGTAAGGTTTTTCTTAAGTAACCACATTGTGTGATGGCAAACCTAGAAGGAACTAATCGTCAGTGCTTCAGTTACTAACAGTAGAGTTAAAGAAATGGAAAGAAACCTAGAGGTAAATAACACCTGAAATCCTACAAGATGTTCAGATACAAAAATAATAAATACAGCTAATTTCAGATAGATGCACACTCCAAGCAGAACACCCAGATTGCAGTTCCCAGCGAAATGGTTCAGATTTACTGATATATAACCAGTCCTGGAAGCAATTAGTATGCTTAACCAAATTGTTTTGGATTTGTGGAGAAGCAGGCAGAGCACCTTGTTGAAAAGATTTTTATTTGCTGGGATACCTGTAGTTTTCTACCCTTCAATATAAGTCAATATATCTAAAATCTCTGGGAGTTACAGGTTCCTGTATGTTGATTTTTTTTATCACAAATTATAGACATCCGGATGTTGAAAGCATCGATTTTCTTTCACGAAGTGTGTGCCTTAACTAACTTGAAAGCTGAATTGTCAATGATATAACTGCATTGTATGTGGTATTATTCAGAAGCCTTTGCTTAACTATTCTGTTAAAAAAAATCCTCCCTTTCCACCGCAATACTGGCTTCTTTGGGATCACATACAATTATTCTCTATTGTGTCCCTCTACTCCAGTGTTATGACTGGATATTATTTGGAAAATAATAGAAATCCTGAGAGAGACCGATGTTTGCAGCTTTGATATATAGCCTATCTACATGAACACAGAAGAAGCCAGGCCTCAAACCTGATCTCTAGTCTAGTGGATGTTCCTTATTCTGTATTTTATTCTTTCAGGAATGTAGGACTTTTTTCATTTCTTTGTATGTGGTAAATGTCTATATTTGTGCAAAAGAGGGAGGGAATGAAGTCAAGTATACCATATATGAACATAAATATGTATCATATAAGAGTATGACTAGACAATCGGCAAGGGTTTGGCATTTGCTGTGGAATAAGTGATATATGGTACCTGCATGGTCACAGTTACCCATCAGAAAGTAGAGTTAGCCACATTAATCTGAAGTCTAGTAGAAGGGTGCCTGTAGAAAATGAAAGCCATGCTGGGGCATCTTCGGTCTGCATCATTCTGGCACAAGTGGCCTACTGTGAGTGCTCACTATGGTGTAATATAGGTACACCAAACACTTAACACATATAGTCTTTCATAATACATCCCTACTCCGTATTAGCTAGTTTTAATTTGATAGTTTATATGAAACATAAGATGCATAGAATTTGGAGGTCTCCTCCTTAATAGGAGTCCCTTTTAAAGTTCTTACCTGAATGCAAAAGTGTGCTGTTTTTGTTAATCCACTTGTTTTTGAAGAGAAAACTTTGTATGGAATAGCTGAGATTACTGATTTATTAGGCAAAAGGAAAAACTGCTGCTTGTTGCACATTGCTCAGACAATGTTTGAATAACCGTAGCAGAAAGGATTATAAAAGTGCTGATAAGTGTTTCACAACAAAGAAAAAAGATATCCCTGTAACTAAAACTTAATAGCATTAAAGTGAATAAAATTAAACTATGTAAACTGGAAAGAATTTTCTACAGCTTTTCCACAGTACTTTTCCCTGCTAACACTGAATGTTGAACAGATGCTGCAAAGGCAGTAGTACACAAGCCATAATATACCAGTGAATTTATTCAAATTAAAGCTCAAAGTTTACCTTGATATCCACTTGTAAAATCAAGTTGACTTGAATGTGATTGCACAGGGGGTACAGTCAGGGTAGATTCTGGGTCAAAATGACTGCAAAAGCTAGATCCATAACAGAAAGAGCAAGCAAGAGGCAGGCATAAGCAGGGGCAATTTCTCTACTCCATAAATCAGTGCATCTTTTTTTTCAGTGCTGACAGTCGAGTAAAACTATGGGATGTGAGGAGAGCATCTGGATGTCTGTTTACTCTTGATCAACACAATGGTGAAAAATCCAAAGCATCTTCTGAAGCTGGTAATAAATAATACGTTTGTAAACAATCGTTGCAGTGGTGGTATGTTTGTTTTAAAATATTCTTCAGTTTCACACGTTCAGAGATCTTAAGACTGGGTGGGACCATTACAGTCAATTAATCTAAGTTCCTTCACATTGCAGGCCATGGGATCTCACCCAGTAGCTTATGTATTTACTCCAGAAACTTGTGCATGTGTTTTAAGCCACATCTACATGGCAGAATTACCGTGCCAGGCAGCTGTATCCTCAGATACCACCTTGCATCACATGGGCTGCTAGTGTGGGCAGCCTAATTGATGCTGTCTCCAGGGCTACATACAGATAGTCAAAAAGCCCAAGGCTGAATTGATTCAGTCTTTACAGGTTAGTCTAAACTGCAGAGATTAAATTGACACACAAGTGAACATACATTTACATTCAAGAAATGTAGCCACATGCCTACAGTGCCTCACGCCAGAAGCCAGGGAACACTAGAGCACAGCTCTCTGGCGTGTAGCTAGGATGGTCTATGTGTTTGCTTCCTCTTCCTGCTGTGATTCCTCTGGGATTTTGTAGTCCAGCATCACAGCAGTAGGACTCTACAGGGTTGCATATCACTTCTTCCTGCTTCCAGGTGCTTCTGGGATTTGTAGTCCACAGCCAGCACTAAGTTTGGGCAGGGGAAGGGGTGTTTAACCCCCCTCCCTGGCCCCAGGCCCCAGCCAGAGTTTGCCAGGGAGGCGCGGGGCAGTCCCGAATATTTCCCCCGTCCCCCGCAGATTGTCCCTCCCCCCAACCCTCTTGTCAGCCAGCTCTCACTGCTCCAGCTAGGGAGCAGAGGGACAGAGCCAGCCCTTTTCTGCTGGAGCAGACAGCACAACCTAGCCCAGGGCTGCAAAGCATGTTGGGGGACTGTGATATAACTTGAACCAGGAAGGGGTGTGGAATAGAAGTTTCATAAACCGGTTTAACCCAAATCGGTTAAGTCTGATAGTACATTCAACCAGGTTTATCCTAAACCAGTTTCAGTCATTTTGAAACTGGTTTATGTGCACTGAGCTTCTGTTCTTTTACAGATGTAACTAAATTCTGATCACTTAAACGGGTTTATGTGTAACTTCTGTCCCTAGCCCTAGTGCTAGTTAGCTGACTACCAGCACTATATAAATGCAGGAACATTATTCTAGTTGTGGAAACAGACCATGTTTGAGGGACCATTGCCTGCCTTGCTAATTTTTCTTTGTAGATATATACTTAAAACAACTTGCTGAGTAAAATCTTGATGTCAGTAAGAATTTTGCCATTGATTTTAGTAGAGTCAGGATTTTACTCTGTTTTAACTTAATTTCATACAATGGAGATTTCACTTGGTTTTTTGTAAGTTGTTCCAGTGGTTAAATATTTTTAATGATTTAAAAAAATTCTATTTCCAGTATATATTATAGGTTCAAAATTTAGCATCTGAACTTTATGCTGTTTTGTTTTATAGATTAAGGAACCCTCTACTATATGTCTTACTTTTCTTGTTCAGTATAGAGAAAGGCATTAGACATATTTTAAAAGTTATATGCTAAGTCTTAACTTTGCATAATAATAATGTTATCACGCTAATGCTAACAAGCAGTGCAAATCATAAGACTCAAAATGCTTTACATGGGACATGTTTAACAATAATATTAAGATTCTATATGAATCTACTTGCATGCATTTTCTGCATTTGGGAAGCAAACAAAAGTAATGGAACAACACTGTGCTTCAAGTTTTAGCTCAAAAATTAATTTAGATTTAATTCTGGACCATATTTTTTTAATTTTAGCAGGGAAATTTAAAAGTTAGATCTGAGTGAATCTAATGAAAAGGGGAAAGGTATTTTTATTTAAAAATATGGATCACCACATACGAAGTAGGAATCTTGTTTTTGGGCCCTGATCTGGAAAACAAAAAGTTTCATACTTGGTGCTAGCCCTGAGTTGTCCCATCAGTGTGACTAACCACAGGGTGTAAACACATGCAGAAGTCTTTGTGGAATCAAAGTCTTACTCAGAAAAATAGTTGTGGTAGATGTATATACTTAACAACATGAAGTATCTGTTTTATAGGCAGTGCATTAACTTGATGCAGTAGCTTATTCTATGGTGCATAAAAGTGACATATATGTTTTTGAGAATTAAAAATATAATTCCAGTTCAAGTAGATAGTAGAATAGCAAGAATAGAAAGAGAAAAAGTTTCTTTGTAATCTAGCTTGCAATTTTTGGTTATGAACAAATGGACTTCTTTTAATGTTGTCTTAAAAATGGATTAATGCCAGTACAAAGAGCAATAGAAAGGCAACTATAAAATAAATTTATCTTGTTAATTCATTAAAATAACTCTGTAGAGCAGGTAAAGCAGCATTCATCAAGTGGATGGTTGCATTGCACACTTGCAGGTGTAGTGTAGATATACCAGTACTTTAGCTTGTTCTGGGAAAATTAGCTTCAGTGGAGGTGTGTGCAGCTATGATTTGACTGCATATGGTGCCTAAGGCTTGCTAGTTTAGAACTACTTTAGGTATGTTTTCAGTGCGTGCTGCAGTGCAGATTACGCTGAAAGAGAAATTGAAGCTCCAAGCAGATCAGAAAAGTTCATAATAAATGTGCAGAGGATTTAGGCCATGGACAAATGTGCTATTGGAAGAACTCCAAATGCCTTTGAAGTGCTCTAGATAGTGAGGGATAGTGAGATATGTACAACCAAAGTACTTTAAAATGACCTTCAAAAATGAGGAACATATTTGGGGGACTTCCTCTTGAAGGATTTCCTGAAATATTTGTATGCTTCAGTGATCCTCTGTCATCCCTCAATGCTCTGGCTGTAACCCACCTCATGGCAGGCTAGCAAAGCAGGCAGCCAGTGTGTGCTCTCCTATGTGTTTGACTGTGTTTAGAAACCACCAGAGGCCAAGAGACATTTATAGATTCCTGCTCTCTAGCCCCTAGGCTGGAGAGCAGTGCAGTTGCAAGTTTTCATGGCCATTTTGAAGTCAGCCACACATCTACATGGCACCAAATTTGCAGCATTTCAAGTGCTTGGTATTGCTGTTCATACTCTTGTTTACATATACAAAAAATGCAAATGTGTACTTAAAGTGTTAACTACTTAGTTAGGAGTAAAGTTCTAGGGGGAGAAAAATCTGTTTGTCATACAGGCTTTTACACTATGTTCATAAAAAGTTTGCATTTTACACTGTAAAAGAGAGTAATACTTATTTTAATATAGATGGAAAAATAACTTTTTTTTTGGATCCTGCTTTTCCTTAGCACCCAAAAAGGCCCTTGGAATCAGTAGAAAAAATATACTATCACCTTCTTTTGGGACGGTTTTGTTAACACTTTGCAGTACCTCCCATAGGTGTTGTGTCAGCTAGGCTAGAACACCCTAATACCTGCAATAATATAGCAAGTGCTAAATTGGCTCAACATGCTAAAACTTCAGTGTTGAGCCAATTTAGATCTAAAATAATTATAGGTGCACCGATATATCGGTCTGATATTGGATTGACAACGATAGAAAGAAAATTGACTGTATTGGAAATCAGCGTTTTTTGCCTGATATGGCTGATAATTTGGCCGATAAATGCCCTGTGCATGTATGCAGCTGCAGCATAGCACAGGAAGTGGTGAGGAGCACATCCTGGCAGTTTGGAGAGCTGAGTCCAGCTGGTAAGTCTGTTGTGGTGGAAGGGAGAGGGAAGGGGCATGGGGGGAGGGTAGATTGAGCCCCCCACGGTGAGGGAGGTAGAGGGGCTGGGGCAGGTGCTGCCCAGCTGAGGTGGAGCACGGGATAAAGACACGGCTCATGCTGGGGGGAGAGGGTGGCTCCCACTTCTTCGCACAGCCCGGGAGGACACGGGGTGTTTGCCCCCAGATCTGCTCAGGGTAAGGGCAGGCTGCTGCTGCAGGCTGCGGTCAGATCTGGGCCAGGCTCTTTCTGGCCGGGGGTCTGGGCCAGGCAGTGGCAACACTGGGAGGAGGGGTTGGACAGGGCTACGGCAAATTTTGGGATGGATGCACCCCCTCCCCCCGTAGCCTCCTTCCTAGTGCTGCCACCCCAAGCACAGCACAGCACAGCCCGGCCTGGCCTGGCCCTGGTCCTGGCCCCAGCCCCATCCTGCAGCGGCAGCCTGCCCCATACCTCACAGATCTAGAGGCACACGCCCCTTCATGCCCTCCCAGGGTGCATGCAGCAGTGGGAGCCACTTCCTCCCCCCCCAATGCCCACTGGATGAACTGAGGCTCCATCCCTGCCCCAGCCCCACTCCCTCTTTCACTGCAGGGACCTCTATTGATACCCCCTCAATGCCGCTACCTTCCCCTGCCCCTTCTACCACAGCAGACTTACTAGCTGGACGCTGCTCTTCAAGCTGCCAGGCTGCATATCAGAAATTGGCTCAGTATCAGCTGACATGCTTCCTTAAAATCGGCTATCAGTATTGGTTCCAAAAATCTGTATCGGTGCACCCCTAAAAGTAATGGATTACTTTGTACAAGGGGAGTCCCCTGTGATTCTGTGGTAAAATCCTTGTCTGCCGCACAGGAGACCTAGGTTCAATTCTCAGGCACTTATACAAATACAGCCATTGAGGAACCAAACATCTGGATACACTCTGGCTTTTGGATTCTGTCTCAGTGGCATAAAGAGGGGGATGGAAGATTTGGGCAGCCTCCACTCCTCCAAAAACTCCTGTCTAGGCATATGCATTGAAGGTCTGGGTGACCTCTCATACATACACCATGATCTGGAAGAATCAACGGTTGTTCAACTTTGTAGAAGGGTTACTTTGTACAATCTCATATAAGGAACTTCGTTGACATGAAATCCAGAACATTTTCAGTATATATTTTTATAAGAAAATCTTTGTTGCTTTCATTTTTCTGGATAGCAAATACTGCGCATAATGGAAGAGTTAATGGCTTGTGTTTTACAAGTGATGGGCTTCATCTTCTGACTGTTGGTACAGACGATAGGATGAGACTCTGGAACAGTTCCACTGGGGAAAACACACTGGTAAGATTTTTAAATGACTTTTCTTTGCATTGTTAGCTGCATTTAAGTAGCCAGGTTGGGTCATGTAATTCAGGTTTGTGTACTAATCTCATACAAGAAATTACTGCCTAATCTTTCATGATCTACTTAAGTACTTCTATTATTCAAATATCATTTTGGTTGAACAATAAGCTGAACGTGAGCCAACAGTGTGGCCCTTGTTGCGATCAGGGCCGGAAGTTGTGCCAGCCTTTTCCCAGCGAGGGGGCTAGGTCTGGGCTGCACTCAGGGTGGGCAGTGACAGTACTGGGAGGTTGGTACAGGGGGGCTACAGCCAACCCCAAAATTCACCATAGCCCCACTGCCCAGAATTGCTGCCCAGCCGACGGCCGCCCCCCCCCCCCCCCCGCGGCCCCCCGCCCCGCCCCCCCCCCGGGAAGTGGCTGGCACATCCTCTGGCCCTGAGCACACAGCAAACAGCCCTCCCCTGCCCAGTGCACAGATCCTGAGGGCTTGTGTCCCCTGTGCCTCCCCCAAGGGTGTGCACAGTGTGCCGTGCCTTCTGGACAAACCACGGCTCCGTCCTTCACCCTGCCCCAGCTGGGCAGCACCTGTCCTAGCCCCAGCTTGACTCCCTCCCTCAGCGTTGGGTCTTCGATCTGCTCCCCTCACCCCTTCCCTCCCCCACACTTTCCCCCCCCACAACCCTAATCCCCCCCGACTTACTGGCCAGATGCTTCTGAGTTGCACTCCCGGCTGCATGCATGCTGTGGCTGCATGCATGCATGCTACATTTATCAGTGACATTATTGGCCACATAGCCAAAAAAAGCCGATTGCTGATTATGTCAGTTTTCCTTCTATCAGTGCCCATATGATATGAACCGATGTATCAGTGCACCTCTAGCACTGTGACACTCTAGTCCAGTTTTGGACCTCCACTACAGAAAGAATGTGAATAAACTGGAGAGTGTCCAGAGAGCAATGAAAATGGTTAGAGGCCTGGGGCACATGATTTCTGAGGAAAGGCTGAAGGACCTGGGCTTATTTATTCTGGAGAAGAGAAGACTGAGTGGGGGATTTAATAACAACCTTCAACCATCTGGAGGGGGATTCCACAGAGGATCGAACTAGACTTTCTCAGTGGTGGCAGGTAACAGAACAAGGGGCAGTGGTCTCAAGTTGCAACATGGGAAGTTTAGGTTAGGTTAGATATTAGGAAAAACTTTCTCCCAAGAGGGTAGTAAAACAATGGAACAGGTTACCCAGAGAGGTTGTTGAGGTTTTTAAGACCCAGCTAGACAACGTCTTGGCTGGAATGATCTAGTTGAGGATGGTTCTGCTTTGAGCAGAGGGGTGACCTCCTGAGGTCCCTTCCAACACAAATTTTCTATGATGAATCCCATGGCTTCTCTGAACCCCAGCAAATTGAAAGCAGTGCAGTGCAGACTAGCATTGGGCTACACTGCGCAGCTTCAGGAGCTGGCACATAGCAAGCTGATCAGTTAATGGACTCTCTGCATGCTCTCAAGTTGAAAGCCAGTGGTGCAGCCAAAATATCAGCTGCTTGCATAATAATGATGTAGTGGTGAATGACCCATAAATTGTAACAATTAATGTTTAAAGCCACAAAAACAAGCATTGTATAATAATGGCTAATTGCAAACTCTTGCATTTTACAGGTGAACTATGGGAAAGTTTGTAATACAAGTAGGAAAGGAATCAAATTTGCCATCTCTCGTGGCTGTAATCCAGAATTTGCTTTTGTGCCATATGATAGTAACATTGCTGTTTACACAATTTACTCTGGTGAATTGATAACTATGCTCAGAGGACATTACAGCACTGTTGATTGCTGTGTATTCCAGTCTGATTTTCAGGTAAGTGAAGTATCTGAGAGAATTTTGAATGTTCAGGCAATGTGCCAGACCAATTACATATAAAATAATGAGTTTTAAGGCCAGAAGGGATCATTATATCATCTAGTCCGTTGATTTCCAACCAGGGTATTGTGGTGCCCTGGAATGCCACAAAGTTTTATAGGAGTATTGTGCAATATTAGTACAGTTACTTACACGTGGTTCATAAGATAAGGAGATTTCAAATCATATCAAAAACATTTTGACCTGTCTTTCTAAGTTCTTTGCAACAAAAGAATTGCTCTGTTATTTTTCTATAGTCAAGACGTGAGTGAAAACTAAGGATTAGCATTTTTCAAGGGATGCTTTAAGTCTAATGCAAGATGCCAGGGTTCAACAAGGAGTACCTTGAGTCTAAAAAGAATGACAACTAGTGAATTCATCTGTCCTCTTCTGTACTACAGGCTATTTATTTTACTCTCTTTATCTTCTAACTTTGATTTAAAGACTCAAGTAACAGAGAGTCCTTTGCTTCATTCTCTGCTAGATTTTAAAAGTCCTTTGGTACTAAGTGTTTTCAAACAGGAAGCTTGTGTTTGCTGTCTGTCCACTAAAACGCTAAAATCCTTTTCAGTCACTGTTTTCCAGAATACCATTCCCCAACTCTGTGGCTCTGGGATGTGTTTTTCATTCCTTGATTTATGACCTTACAATTGACTGCGTTAAATCCTTGTTAATGCACTCAGTTTAGCAAGCAGTCTAGATCACTTTATATGACTTCTCTGTTCTCAGCATTATTTATTAATTTAGTAATGTTTGTAGTCAGAAATTTTATAAAGAGTGATCATTGAAGAGTTTGAGTGATTCTTAACAAACCCATCAGAAACATGCCCATTGATCAAGATTGCCAGTTTATAACTACTTTTGGAGATTTGTCAGCCAGTTCTTAAACTATGTAACATGAGCTTTATTGACATTGAACTGCTAATTTTTAACCAAATGTCATTAAACCATCTTCAGACTTGAGGCACCCCTCCTTAACTATTGTGAACTGAGTGGCATCCCATTTAAAAAAGTTTCTGTGTTTCAGTGCTTACCTCCTTGCAGTAGGAGCAGGGCAGCAGCCAGGCAAGGAGACTCTGAGCCTGCCCTTGTTTGCTTCTCTTCTCACACGTGAAACTGCCTGTATCCTCTTGTCTGTTTACATTACTTTCATCATCCTTCAAAGGATCTCCTGGTGGCACCTGGTTGAGAATCAGTGACTCGAGTAAACAAACAGGGCTTGATAGCAACAGAGGCAGTGTCTTACTCAGACAGCAAAGGCACAGAATGAGTGCGGGTGATGTCAGGAACTGCTGCTTAAATTGGAAAATTTCTTTCTCCTTGTTTTTATGTGCAGCAAATATATCTGTGACATCTTTCCCCAAGGCACAGTTGGTGACCCGCCTCACTAGCAAATGAATAAATATATAGAAAAAATAAGGAACACTCAATTTAAAGGCTTATTTGCATTCCTGTCTTCAGAAATTCCAGAATTAATGTTGAACATCTTATACTGCATTGTACTAAGAACATAAAATACTATACTGTCCATCTAGTCCAGTATCCTGTCTCCGACAGTGAAGGAGAGGATGCTTTGGAGGGGAGACCTTAAAAAAGATTCCATAATATATAATGTATAAAACAGTATTGACCTGTTTATACATTTAGAAATAGAAACAGATTGTCAAACATTTGGAGGATTATCAGCCCCAATGCTGAAAACATTTATGCACATGAGTATTTTTATTTATATGCATAGTCCCAGAGGGGCCAGTGTGGCAACTTGTATGAATAAATGCAGATGTTTACAAAATCAGGCCCATAGAATGAATAGCAGGCCCTAGTTTAATTCAGCCTGTATTGGAACTAATTTTAGAACATAATTAATGAAAAGAGGCTTGCATTTAAGGTGGACTGATAAACCATTTTAGGTGCCAATAAATAACTTGCTATTTTAAAAAGTCCTGTTTATTGAGGTGTTTTAGCAGCTACCTAGGTATGTGTAAAAAAAAAAAAAAAAAAATTATCTTTTAGCAGAATTTGTTATCGACTTAAATTTAAAATATACTTGGAACATTTCATTCTAAGGGCAGGGCATTTTTTATCTTACAGATATGTTGCCACATGTCAGATGCTAATTAAGTAAGAAGCAAACTACTGCTTGCAAAAGCTTATTCAGCTCTGATATAGTTAGTCTGTGAGGTGCAGCTCTACCCTGTCTTTTTTGCGTCTTCAGACTAACACAGCTAACTACCTCTCTGCTCAAGAATTTCTTCAACCAACAATGAGTAAAGGAGTTCTTTAATAAAATGCTAAGAAATTGAAGATGTGATAGACTCTTGGCTCTTCGGTGGAAGCACTGTCGGCCATGTTTTGAACACTGCTGCCTAGCACAACAGGCTGCATTCCTGGTTGGTCCTTGGGCATTATCATAATGAATCTGTTTATATCTATTAGAAAGCCACATGAGACTGACTGGATGTAGGCTTTCTGCTGTTAGTTCCTCAGCTGATTGAAACTACTTTTATCTCCTTACTGCTCCAGTAGTTTCATACCTCAAGCATAGTCTAGAAAGGAACACAACTAGATTTTCATTTGGTTAGTATTTTAAATAAAGTGTAAGTTAACAAATGAAGTAAAGAACTAAACCCCCTTCTAGACATCTACCGAATTACTGATTTCAGCGTCAAATTAAGAAAATTTATTCTGAGGAACCTTGTAATAACACTTGGGGGGAAAAAAAGAAATAAGTTTAAACAGTGAAGTCTGCTTAATGGTAACACAGTGCTATTTTGGTGAGCTATTCCCAAGGGAAATCTCAGATATCATGTCTTGTTGTCTGATACTTGTCTAGGTCATATCACCAATGTAAAATTAAGACTCTGTTATTATTTTAGAGGTGCACCAATATATTGGTTGCCTATTGGATCGGCACCAATACAATTGAAATTTTTTATTATCTGCTGTTGGCTTTTTTTTTTTTTTTTTTTGGCTGTTGTAGCTGATAATGTTCACTGATAATTAATTATGCCTTCTGGCTGGGGCCCCCGGAAGCTAGCTATCAGGAGGCACTTTCAGGCTAGATATCAGGAGGCACTACTTCAGTCAGGGCGGCTAGGATCTGGAACCAACTTCCTAGGGAAGTGGTGCTTGCCCCTGCCCTGGGGGGTCTTCAGAAGGAGGCTAGATAATCACTTAGCCGGGGTCATTTGACCCCAGCATTCTTTCCTGCCCATGGCAGGGGGTCAGACTTGATGATCTGCTCAGGTCCCTTCTGACCCTACCAACTATGAAACTATGACGCCTGGGTTCCTGTGAGACTGGGGCCCCTGAACACCTGGGTTTCCTTCCGGGAGCTAGGGTGACCCCAGATACACGCCCATCCCCTCACCAGCAGGCTGAGTTGGGCCAGAGCAGAGCAGCTGCCACGGCATCCCTGGTGCTGGCATGGCGTGGACTGTGGGCTGGAGCAGGGGCAGGTGCTGTAAAGGGCACTGAATGCCACTGACATGACTGGATGGGGGGCGAAGGTGGAGCTGAGCTGCCCGGCCCAGCCTGGCTTGACTCAAGCCACAGTGCCTGAGGGTCTGTGCCCCAGGAGCTGGGGACAGAGCCTGGCAGGGGCTAGGGCGGCCACTCCCCACACTGTGCAGCAGGGTTCTTCCCCTAGCGGGGAGCCTGGCCCAGAGACCATCTCGACCTGGGCAGCCTCAGGCTCAGGCAGCTGCTTCCAGGCTGGGGTTGAGGTGGGGTTACCATACATCCAGGCTTTCCCAGAGAAGTTCTCCCTTTTAGCCCCCTGCCCTCTATTGGGGCGGGTTTTTAAAATGCAATCAAATGTCCGAGTTTTTTTTTTTTTTGCCTCTGCTTTTTCTGGGCACTTGCAGCTTGGCTGCTTGGGGCTGGGAGCTGTGGGGCAAGGTGATTGGCTGCCAGGGGAATCATGTGCTCTCCACGCAGGCCCTGGCAGCTGCTTGGAGGTGAGAGAGAGAGAGAGAGTGGGCATGCATGTGTCTGTAAGCTGCGTGGGCAGCAGGGCTGGGGGGCAGGGGGCTGTGGTTTGGGAATGAGGGGCACTGGCAGGGCTGGGAGGGCATGGGCTTCAGGTTGGGAGTAAGAAGGGGCAGCGGCAAGGCTGGGGGATAGGAGGCTGCAGGTCAAGAGTGAAGGGCACCGACAGGACTGGGTGGGCAGATTGGGAGTAAGGAGCACCAGCAGGGCTGCGGGGTACGGGGCCTGCAGTTTGGGAGTGAGGGGTACCAGCAGGGTTAGGAAGGACAGAGGGGCTGCAGATTGGGAGTGAGAGCACTGCTAGGGCTGGGGTGCAGGATACAGTGTGTTAGGAATGAGAGGCAGCAGGGCTGGGGGGCAGGGGATTGTGGCTTAGGAGTGAGGGGCAGAGGTAGGGCACAGGCATATGACTGTCCTCCCCCTCCCAATCATAACCCTTCCCCCTCCCCCTCCTTCCCTCCCACAGGTGTCCTCTTTTTTTATACTGGAAATATGGTAACCCTAGTTGAAGGGCAGTGGCTGCAACTAGCGTGGAGCACTCTTACATGTGCTCTGGGAGTCGGGGGTTGGCGCTTTAATTAGATTGGCTCCAGCTGCTCTAATTAAAGTGCCACTGTGTTTCCTGTATCAGCGTCCCCACACTTAATGGCGGACACTTGAACTAAAGCTTGGGGGGCACTTGAACTAAAGCTTCTCCAACAAGCTTTATTACTAACTATTGGTTATCGGATCGTATCGGTTGATATGGCTGGTTAATAACCAGCTGTAGGTATCAGCCAAGAAAATCTTTATCGCTGCACCCCTACTTTATTTCCAAACCAATTTGAAATCAGTGTCATATTTTCATAAGTATTTACAGTTTAGTGTACAGTAGTTACTGAAAGAAGTTATTTTTGCTTGCTTACTTGTAGGAACTATATAGTGGTAGCAAAGACTGCACTATCCTAGCTTGGGTGCCAGCTCTACGAGAGCCTGTTCCTGAAGAAGATAATGAAAAGGTCTGTGTGGTTTTAATCATGTAATTTTTACCTTTGTGGGGGAGGGAAGAGGTTCTTTTTTTTTACAGGTAATTAGAAATTCTGTGCAAAGAAGATATTTCCACAGAAACTTGTGCACACATCCTCTATACATTATTTTTCTGCTGTGTGTCTATTTTCTTTAGTGTATTGCAGTTTATTGTATTGGCAGTTCTTTTGCAGGCTACTCGCATCTCATCTATTTAAAAAGTTTCTGATCATGCTGTTGTCTGTCCTCTAAATTTTACTTTAACCTGTGTAAAGTCCATGCTACATTTTAGCCCTCAGAGTCTATGATCCTTTACATGTATATTTAGCAGTACATTATACACAAAGGAAATTAAGGATACAGGGTTTTCACACCCAAACATTTTTAGTCTGGAAGTACATCAGGAAAGCTTTTAATAAGCTTGCTCAAGAGTCTTCCTAAAACACAGTCAGCTCTGACACAATCAGTTGCCTATTTAATCCCAAATTCCTATTAAACTTTTAATAGGACAACAGATTGTAATCAGGTCATAGAATCCTGTGGCACAGAGTTTGAAATACTTGTTTTGTTTTTTAAATACAGTACACGTTATTGTAAGAGCAATCTAGTTTGGCCTTCTTTTACTCAAGGGCCTTAAAGTATGGCCCACAGGCCAGATCTGGCCCACTGGGCTGGATGAGTTTGACATCCCTGTTTTACAGCATATATTTCTGAGGTGATGTCATACTGGACATTTGTTTTCTGTCACAAATGAGAGTGTGTTGTGTATTTGTAAAGTTTGTTAAAGTTGCTTCTACTTCTGTATTTTTACTGCTCTGCTAGCTACAGTACATAACTTAACTGTTGCTTCCTATCGTAAAGTTTGAGCAACAATATCTTCCAAATGAATACAAATTTCTTATGATCACTAGAGCTGCATAAGTTCTTTTCAGTAGGTATGTTTGCTGATAAATGCAGGTTTAGAGGGACTGACACTTTGAAGTGGTGTCAAGTTCAGCAAAAAGTTTAGGTTAAAAATGGCAGGGGCAGTGCAGGGCAGATTTTGGAAGCAAAAACATTCTGTCATTTTCAAGATGAAGTGTCTTCTTTTCATTTAAAAATAACCCAAATGCACGATATATTTTTTTTTAAGTTTTAAAAACAGTTAAATAATTAACAGCCAAACAAAACATTTCATTTTGGGTTGAACAGAACTATACGGATTGATTCCAAATGAAATTTTGGGTTGTAGTGTGACAGTGTTGATTTGTTTTTTTATTTTTCCCTATTGATAAGCTTTTAAAAAAATAAATCAATAAAGTCTTTTAGCTCAACCTGAACTGATTTTTTTTCCGGTTTTGATTCGGGCACCAAACCATAAAAAAAGTCTATTAGCTCTAAGCATGATTGTTCTTAAAGAATCGCCATCACCATGAAGACAATCTTCTGTGTGTCATTGAGCCCTGAAGTAGTTAAAAATAAGGCTTTATGAGATAATTAGCAAAAAATACCATAGACAGTGGGCACATCTACACATGCACTTTAATGTGCAATAGACTATTTTACTGCACATTAAAGCATCAAGTAAAAAACTGACATTAAGTTAATGTTCAGTAAAATAGTCTACTGCGCATTAAGCATCACTAAAAAAAGTGTGCAAATGTGCTACTGCACAATAGCACAACCTAATGCACATGAGTTTAGTACCTCACATTGAAGGTACTAAATTTAATGCACATTAGAAAAGGCACATTAATGCACTTGTAGACACGCCTAGCAATAGTTTATATTGGCAGAGTATTTGTGGTGTTGCTAATCCAGGTGCCAAAAATCATGCGACTAAAGAGTAAGCACCCATATGCAGGATATTGCTTTCAGTTGTAATTTACGGTTCTAGTACAGTGTTAATTTGCAAGGTGGACAAAGAACTGTTTACAAAATATGCAGTGAAAAGTAGAGAGAATAATTGTTTGCAAAAAGTAGTGTAAGAAATTACTAACATGGTGCCTTTGTATTTATTCTTAAATGCATTTCTTCTCACAGTTTTACTGAGGGGGTTTTTTTTTTAATTTTTTTTTTTTTTAGTCTCTACCTCTACAAAGCTTAAATCCAGCCTATGAAGATGCATGGAGCAGCAGTGATGACGAAGGATGAATTTCAATGAGCTGTTGATATAAAACTGATAAGTCATGTTTTGTATTCATGAAGAAGGACTTTATCTACAGAATCAGACAAGTATTTATTGTCATTAGCTGCTTTGTTCAGTTCTTCTAAAAACTCAGCCTTTCAGAAACAATTTTTTCCATAAAGTTACAACTATACTGTTTTCACATTTGCTCTCTCTTCTTGCCATATTTTAAAATAATATTAAATTTTCATGTTTTCATCATCACCTACCCCGATACTTTGGGCACAGTTTTTTGGGAGCCTCTCAGTCTCACAGAAGCTTCTCGACAGGTACAGTTATAGGATCCAGCTCTGGACGAGGCAAGGCTGGGAGTATCTGTCTAGATGCTTCTATGAACCCCATCAGTTTAGTACCTGAGTTAATTCCAGGTGTGTACAAATTAAACTAGACACAGCAGAAGTCTCTACAGTCACTCCTTAGCTCTGCAGTTCTCTTCTTGAGGCCTGCCTGAGCCTAGACTCTGCACTTTTGGAAGCGCTGAAAGAACTTTGTTTGGGCAGCTATTTAGTAGTCAAAATGGGTCCATGGTGTTGCTTAGTGGGTCTCTACTTGTTTCATTTTTTTAATTTTGTTTTATTACTTCTAGTTGCCCTTTTACGTTTGTTTCTCTTGCTGTAAACTGCCCTGATCCTTTGTTGGGAAGGGCAGCATATGAATTGCATAAATAAATAAATGACCCTGTAAATATGGTCATAAGATCCATTAGTATCCTGTCTTGCATCAAAACCCCCAGTGGGAGAGGGAAGAATTCCTGGATAGGAGTAGGCAGTGACTGAAAGGTTTGGCTTCTGATATTGCCGAAGAGTCTGACTGTTGGAAAAAGGGTAGTTGGTACTGATGTTTTGTAATCTGTAGATTAGGAGCCTGAATTTCAGACATATTCTGGATTAAAGACTGGCCTCTCCTGCCCAGCAGAACAAGTTAGAGGAAGCTGAGTCAATCGGGATTCAAGCAGGAACACAATTTTGGAAGGTAAAAAGTGTTCTGTAAACAAATGACAAACACCAAACATTCAGAGGTCATGCTTTTCAGGCAGATGAAGGATGGGTTTATTTTTCTGTTCATTTTTTTTTTTGCCTTCATGTTTGAATTAATGTTTTCAAACTTTTTTCTGCAACTCTCAGGGCTGAAAACTATTTACTGAAAACATTTTCCAAGCAGTCTCTTAAGGTTCCAGCTACAGAATTTAAGACTAGCACAACATACTTCAAGACCTCAAATAAGAACTTGATTTAACAACACAGAGTTTCTGTAACTCAGATTAGGATTTATTTTTGTTAACCCAGTGCCACAGTTCTATCTTGTCTTATACCTGTGTAAGACAATTCAAGGAAAATGTCAGTGTCACTTTTGGGGGTGTGAGATTACAATATTCATTGACTGTAAGCTCTTCAACACAGCGACTGTTGCTGCTGGCAGATGTTAAGGCAGTTGTGCAGTTAGGAAATTTTACATGCCATCCCAGAACTGTGTTATGCCTTGTCAGATATGCATGGCAAGTCGCACTATTTTAGGGACAGGGCATAAACTTTCCCAGAACCCAGCTGCGCAGATGTCTGTCTGTGTCAGTCCTGCCAATCCTGATGATCACATGATTAGAGCTGCCCTGTGCCTGATCTCCAAGATCTGGCAGGGAACAGCCCCAGTTCCCCAACAAAGACCCTGGGCTTCCCCATGCCCTGTCCCAAGGGCAGGGTTCCCCAAAACCTGGCAGATTTTTGCCTTGTTCTGACACTTCAAGAGCTGGAGAACAGGGCTCTTTTAAAGTGCCTTGGGGTTCCCTGCAACCTGGCACTTCTGAAGAGCACTTCTGGGAAGAAGTTTGGAAAGGAAGAAAATGCACTCTTCAACTGTAATGTTGTAGAATGAACTACAGTTCCAGAAGGCTGCTGAAGAAGAGGAAGTGGAGGAGAGCTGGGACTGCTTGTAAAATAGCTCGGCAGTTGGAGCACAGTGAGAGGCAGTGGAGACCCAAGAAGTGCACTTAAACTGGCAGTGGCAATCCCCACTGAGCAGCAGTGACACCTGCAGCGCTTGCAGAGTGGCAGCAAGCAGTGATCCCGAGAGGCAGCAAGTGACACAGACCCAAGTGTCACTCCTTGAAGTTGCAGCAATAACCCCTGAGTGGCAGAGCAGAAGTGGCCCTGAGCAGCAGCAGTCCTGAGCAAGGACCCCAAAAGGTGGTGCCTTCCTAAAGGCAGTACAACCTCTGTAGTAACAGCAAGTGACAAAGTCTCTCCCCTAGCAAACTGGAGGGAAACTCCTCTCCTCACTCAGGGTTGCTGCTGCTGTTCTGCAGGGTCACTGTGGAATTGTGCTACTTGATGACGCTGAGGTCTCCACTGCCTCTTGCCTTCCTCCAACTGCTGAGCTATTTCACATGCAGTCTCAGTTCTCTACTTCCTCTCTTGCCCAGTAGCCTTCTGGGAACAGTAGTTCGTGCTATGACATTACAGTCTGTTACAAGGCCTCTTCCTAGATCCCCAGGAAAGGACTTCCCTATAGGATTTTTCTCAGCGCTCCCATCATCTATTTTCTTAACATTCCTAAACAGTATAAAGCGATAGTGCAGGAAAGGGAATGGTGTAAATGCAACTGGACTCCTCTCTCTGGCCCACAGTCAGGGAACAAGTAAGAGTTTGGAACCTCAGATCAAATTACAAAAGAACAGTTGCATCAGTTCTGAAAGAATGCCATTTACCTGAAAAGAACTGATTTCACTACGGGTACTTCTACAGTGAAGGATACCTTAACGATAATGCTCTTTTTTCCTCATTTGAGTTCCAAGTAGAGTTAACAAAAAGCTGGGCGGATGGATTTGGTTTTGGACTTTTTTAGTATTGTTTTTTCCTGCATACCAGAAATTCCTCAGACTGCAGCTTCTCAGTAATATGATTATCTTGTCAGTTTCTCTGATGATGATCATAGAAAAGTGTGACTGGAAGGTACCTCTGGAGGTCATTGTGGCAAGAAGAGGTAGGCCCCCAGGAATTCAGAAGTTTGTTGAATTCAAAATATTTTCTACAAAATAAACTGACATTTTCTGACAAGTTTTATTGTGGTTGATGTCGGAAAAACATGCCATCAACTCTTGATGGAAGTATTCCTTTGTACAGTCTCCTATGAGAAGTGAGCTTATGCTTAATTATAGGACCCCTCACTATTATATACCCTTGGTGAAGACTGCAGCTCTGGCAACCCACCATTATAAACAGCCTATATACTTTAACAGGTACACTGGGGCATGCACAGGTAGGTACTCAGAATACTGTAAACGGATTCTGGTACAGACAGCCCTGGTGCAGTCCCGGGAACTAGTGGATGATCAGCTGATTATCAGCCAGCTCTAGAGGCTGCACTGGGGCCAGTTCAATCCCTGCTGTGGTCCCAGAACCAGCTGACAATCAGCTGCTAGTGGTCAGCTGCTGGGGACCACACCAGGATGGTTGGAGACTCCAGTGAAGTTCTGCCACACATTCAATTTAAGGCTCAATGGAAATCGGTAACAAAAATATTACACATCTCTGTAGTAATTTTGTAGTTGGTTTCCCTTTCTGCAGTGTCATTAGTTCCTGAATGTCTGGCCAGGTTACTATTTAAGACACAATTGCCTTACTATTTAAAACTAATTGCCTCTTTAAGTATAACGTCTACCAAGTGTTTGAAGCTTCCATGTTATGAAGCTCTCAGGACTGCTTGTAGTAAAGCCAGGTGAGGGGGAGATATGGTACATTTGATAAAGTTAAAACTATTCAGATTTTACATAGCAAAGAAGCCAAAGAGGATGTGAGGCTCCATATTATTATTAGTAGTATTTAATTTCTTGCAATTCTGTTTGGAAAGAAACTTACAATGACAATTAAATAAATAGTATTTTGTTTGTTTGTTTGTTTTCCAGTTTTAAAAATCAAACCACACCTCTAAGCCATGGAGCAAATTTCCTCTGGGTTCTTCAGATCTGTCCAATCCACAGATCACAAACCTTTTTATTTTGCTACATCTGAGGGGGAAAATTATTCAATACCTTTAACTCCAGTAGAACAGTTTTGTAGTAAGTTCTCACAGGCCCTAGCAAAGATTAAAATCGGTATATTAAATTGATCTTCCTTGTTACAAATGTACTATTAAGATGAAAACCAGGAACATGTCCAAACAAGAATAAGATAACTGAGTTGGCAGAATGCAATGTTATTCACTTTTATGTTGCAACATAGATAATATTGCATAAAAAACCCACCTCTATTAAAAAAAAAAAAAATATTCTTGACTTTTTATTTACCAGGCAGCAAGAGCTGAAAAACCAGTGAGAGCTTTCAAGTTTCCACCAATTTTAAAAGTACTCAGCACCTTGCAAGATAACATCTGTCTGTATTACAACAGACCCTGAGCTTCCCTGGCATTGTGAGTATTGTCCTTAGTCAGCTCTAATTTAATAAATTTGAAAACAATTTTATTGAAATTAGTGAAAAATTCTAATCAAAATGAAAGGAGGTGATTTTGGTAAGGCTGTAACTACATTAGTAGCCCAAAAAATAATGGATATTCAATTTTAAAGCTGGTTCTTATTGTTAGAAAATAAGTATGAGTCTGAAAAAACAAGTTTTTCAACAACACAAAACATGTATGACGGATATTCACCGAAGTAATCTTTGGTCTGAAAAGTAGGGCAGATAAGCAAACTTGACTTCCATGCTGTTTCCACTGCTGGAGCTACCTCATTTGAAGTTGTCTTGGGTACGTATCTTTGTAGTACACTGCAGCGTATAGTAAAGACATAGTCCAACAGGCCACCTGAAAGTAATTCTCCAGGGTCTGACCTAAATCTCACTTAAGTCGATGATTTCTATGGACTTGGATGGGATTTAGTTCAGGTCATGTAAGTGTCAGTAGTCACATTGCCATGTAAAATGCACTTACAGTAATAAAAAGCTATTCTGCCTATGGGTCAGATCATTTTTCACATTTCATATGTGTGGGCTGAAGTGGTAAAGTACAATCCTAACCCACGCTGATTAAGTCTCGGACGTAACATTAATGCTGAAAGTGGGAAGATTCTGCTCATTGATTTTTTGACTTAATCTTAAAGATGAATTAATGGTGTTACAGACAGATGTCAGTACTTTAGCTAGGTGAAATAAAATCAGTCTTTGGCACAAACATCTACTTGCTGTCTAACAGGCAGTGTAGGATCTGGCCCTACATGTCTACTTATTCTTTAGCAAACATACTCTATCAAGGATGTAGAGTGATCCAAGTCCCTCGGTGAGTGCAAGTTTGTTGAAATGAAATTATACCAACAGGTGGGAGGTATATGGCAGAAACTAGAGTTCTCAGGCTTTGTGGCAGGAAGGGGAGTGTCTTGTATTACTCAACAGCTAATTACAGTTGCTGTTGCCTCCTACACTGCTGCTACAAAGCCTGAAGAAATCACTGGATTAATGTTGGCTAGTATGAGAATCTGTCGGCACTTCATAACATTGCAAAAGTAGATTTGATTATGCATCTCCAGTTTTTCTCATATCACTTGCTGGTTTACGTTGTAAAAAGTCTTTGGAGTAGGGACCACGGCCTACATCTTCAAATGAATGTAGGTGTGTTAATCAAATGGGAGTTAAATGGGAGTTCTGGTTCCAGGTCTGTGTTTCTCTGTGTTAGTACAGGCCCTAACATGAGAGGATACAGATACTGATAGGGGCTTCTAAGTAGTACTGTATTAAATGAAGATACTCATATTGAACTCAGAATCAGCTTAATACAAAGAGTCACCAGGGGCAGTAATTCCGAGAGCTGCCATAACATCCCAAGCTCTACGAAGTGGCTCTTGTTAGAGAGGGAACATAAGTAAAATACAGAGTTTTCCTTTTGTTGGCCCTTTAGCTTAATGTGCAACAGCTCATGACTTTAGCCTGGAGTTGCAAGAGGCATAGACCACCCCTATCTATTGGGGCATTGTCTTGCTTCATAGAATCAGAAAAAGTAGGGCTGGAAGTAACCTCAGAGTACTGTCTAGTCCAGCTCCCTGGCTTAACCATTCTAAGTGTTTGCCTAACCTATTGTTAAAAACAGGTGGTATATCTTGAGGAAACAGTGCCCTGTCTCAGGAGGTGTGTTTTGGGGGGCGCGGGCTGTTCAGCAGCTCCCAGTGAAATGTCAGCCTTGGGTAATTACTGCTTCTGCCCCCCATATATTTATTCTCCTGGGGAATTTCCCAATTCAGTTCCTGCTATGTCAGCCAAGACTGAAGTTGTTGTGCTTTGTCTTGCCCATAATTACTAGATTTTAAGAGTATAAACTCTAAAACATATCTATGTAATGTCATTACTGCCTGACATCACTCATTACATTTGCCTTCTGGTGTTCTGAAATAACACCAATATTGTAGGATATATATATAAGAAACACAAGTGCTATTTATTAATTTAATTACAGTTTTTATTAGCAGATATTTTTTCTGCTAGTATGGTGTACATTAAAATTATTTAATGAATAAAATGTAAAGTATTGGTAACTGAGGTGATGGAATGTATTATGTCTGTAGTGTTCCATATTTATATAAATATATGTAGACGTTAGAACTGATATGTTTACCTTGGTAATGTTTGTATTGTTTTATGTAATTGCTAGCTATTAATAAAGTTATAGCACATTTAAACCAATCCTCTTGGCAAAAAATAGGTTTTACAGTTTCCCAATGTATCCTTATTAGTTTAGTATCTATTTATGCGAAGTGTAGGAACTATCTCCTGTGTATTTATGTAGCATCTAACACAATTAACTCTAATCCTGACTGGGGCCTCTGAGTGCTAATACAAGATTTCATAGACATTAGGGCTGGAAGGGACCTTGGAAGATCATAGAGTCCAGCCCCCTGCCCCAGAGACAGGAAGTCAGCTGGGGTCAAAGGATCCCAGCGAGATAAGTGTCCAAACATTTCTTGAAAGAGTCCAGAGTACGTGCTTCCATCACCTCTGGAGGGAGTCTATTCCAGGCCTTGGGGACTCGGAACATAAAGAAGTTTTTCCTTATGTCCAGCCTAAAATGGTCTTGGAGGAGTTTGTGACCATTTGACCTTGTCATCCCTTGGGGCACTTTGGTGAACAGGCGTTCGCCCAGATCCTTATGCACACCTCTTATATACTTATAAGCTGCCACCAGGTCACCCCTGATCCTGCACTTTTCCAGGCTGAAGAGTCATGGATTTCAGCCTCTCATAAGGCCTGTTCTCTTGCCCTCTGATCATGTGCGTGGCTCTACTCTGGACTCTCTCATGCTTCTCCACATCCTTTTTAAACTGTGGAGCCCAGAATTGGATGCAGTACTCCAGCTACGGTCTTACCAAGGCCAAGTACAGTGGGAAGATGATATCCTGAGATTTACTTGAGAAGCATCTATGGATGCAAACCAGAGTTTTGTTCGCTTTACCAGCTACGACATTGCATTGGTGGCTCATGTTCATCTTGTGGTTAATCATGACCCCCAAGTCCCTTTTGGCCGTGGTGCTAGCAAGTGTAACACTGTCAAGCCTATAAGCATGCTGTGGGTGTCATCCGCCCCTCCCCCCTGAGGTGGAGTACCTTGCATTTTTCCATATTGAATGACATCAGGTTTATATCTGCCCACTTGCTAAGCCTATCCAGGTCAGCTTGGATCACCAGCCTATCCTCAGGTATGGAAGCTGTACCCCAAAGTTTAGTGTCATCAGCAAACTTGGCCAGTCCACTTCTGACACCAGTGTCCACATTGTTAATAAAGACATTAAAGAGAACAGGTCCAAGGATGGAGCCTTGGGGGACACCACTGGTCACGGAGTGCCATAATGATTCGCTTACATCGACTACTACTCTCTGGGTCCAACCTCAGAGCCAATTCATAGATTTCATAGTTTTCATAGACATTAGGTCTGGAAGGGACCTCGGAAGATCTTCAAGTCCAGCTCCCTGCCCCAGGGGCAGGAAGTCAGCTGGGGTCATAGGATCCCAGCAAGATAAACATCCAAATGTCTCTTGAAGACATGCAAAGTAGGTGCTTGAACCGCCTCCAGCAGCAGTCTATTCCCCAGCCAGCGGACTGTGATGTAGCCAAGGCTACAGTTGGCCAATTTTTCCAAGAGGAGATCGTGGGATACCAGATCAAAGGCTTTTTTAAAGTCTGGATATATGACGCCAATCTCTTCCTTGTCCAGGTGATGTGTGACCTGACCAATCTCATCTCTTTCTATGACCAGACAAGACTTACCTGCAACCCACCCGTGCTGGCTGTCCCGCAGGATGTTGCCATCAGCCAGCTTGTCTAGGATGGTCTCTTTGATAATTTTTTCCAGAATCCTTCCAGGGATTGAAGTCAAGTTGATTGGCCTGTAGTTCCCCTGATCTACTTTCCTCCCTTTCTTGAAGATAGGCACCACATTGGCCTTCTTCCAAGCTTCGGGTACTTCACCTGAGTGCCACGAGTTTTCGAATATCCTTGCCAGTGACTCACCTGTGACGCCTGCCAGCTCCTTAAGTACTTTGGGGTGCAGTCTGTCAAGACCAGCTGACTTGAAGATGTCCAGCCTCTAAGCATGTTCCTTTACCAGGTCTACACCAATGCTGGGTATAAATTCACCCTCACCCTGGCCGTCCTGCATCATGTTAGGGAGGGCAGTCCTTTTGGGCTGGTGAAAAACTGACACAAAGTACCCATTAAGCATGTTGGCTTTTTCCTGGGTGTCAGTTGTCAGTTATCCCATTTGGTTTTGCAGGGGTCCAATGTTATTCTTGCTTTTCTTCCAACTCCCCACATACCTGAAAAAGGACTTTTTATTGTCCTTGATATGTGTTCTTGATAAGATATTAAATTGTATATAAAAACATAGAATCATAGAAAATTAGGGTTGAAAGGGATCTCAGAAGGTCATCTAATCCAGCCCCCACTCTGCTTAAACCAGGACCATCCCCAACTAAATCATTCTAGCCAGGCCTTTGTTGAGTCAGACCTTAAAAACTTTCAAGGATGGAGATTCCACCAGTTTTCTCTAGGTAACCCATTTCAGTGTTTCACCACTCTCCTGGTGAGAGAGTTTTTCATAATATCTAAACTAAACTTCTCATGCTTCAGCTTGAGACCATTGCTCATTATTCTGTCATCTACCACCACTGAGAACAGTCAGCTCCATCCTCTTTGGAACCACCCTTCAATTTGCTGAAGGTTGTTACTAAATCCCAACCCCACCCTCAGTCTTCTCTTCTGCAGAGTAAATAAAAACAGCTCCCCCAGTTTCTTCTCGGAAATCATGTGCCCCAGGCCCCTAACCATTTTCATTGCCTTCCACACTGGAGTCTCTCCAACTTGTCCACATACTTTCTGTAGTGGGGGGCCAAAACTGGACATACTGCTCCAGGTGTGGCCTCACCAGTGCCAAATAGAACAGAATAATTACTTCTCTTGATCTGCTGGCAACCCTCCTACTAATTCAGTATGTTGTTAGCCTTCTTGGCAACACAGGCACACTGTTGACTCATATTCAGCTTAATGTCCACTGTAACCCCCATGTCCTTTTCTACAGAGCTGCTGCTTAGCCAGTTGGTCCCAAGCCTATAGTAGTGCATGGGATTCTACCTTCAAAGCTAAGTATATGTAATCACTCAGCTAAACCCATCACAATAATTTTCTAAAGAGAAGAACTAAACCTTCAGTGGGCAATTTAAATTCTGTCATTTCCTAAATTTGGAGAATTTGATTCAGTAACTTTTTAGTATTCTCCTAAAACACAGCTTTTGTGAGCCATCAACTGATTTATCCAGCAATTGGATTCAAGCAAACTAACCTTTGTTTCTGGTTGGTGCTCCATTAAATTCAGTGCAATAGCATGCAGGAGCACATGAGCTTCTAATAAAAGAATCAGGGCTGCTATTTGTTTCCAGACTACGCTAATTTGCAGACACTCATTCACACTACTCTAAAATGTACATGTCCAACAGTGCTAATCAACAAGATCCTAGGCTCACCTTGTCAGTGACTCTCCACCAAGAATTTTCTACCTAGTTTGAATCTGGATCACACCTAGCATCCAGTCTGAATATACTGCCTATGTCCAATGCAATGCATAACTTGACAAGAACATCTAATAAGGATGTTCAGCCAGCATGTGCCAGATACTAGCATGTACCAGATATTTTAATCAATATGTTGTTTATTGCAGCTTCACTCCAATGAGAATTTCCAGGATATTTAAATTTCTAAATAAGCATGTGGGCTGACCCCACCTTAGCTCCCTCACTGCACTGTGTCACAGGCTCCCCCAGTGCCATGGGCTACATTTGCATTGGCAGAGGGCTATCCTGAATGGTATGAGCAACTGCCTAATCCTGCTCTGGTATGGATTCCAAGTGAAGTATAAGGTGACTAGTAAGGTGCATTGAATTAAATAGTATTGAATTACTATACCTTATTAATTCGATTACCTATGAGACATGTGGAACAGTTACTGGCATTTCAAAGCCTACATTGCTGCCTGAACACAGCAACAATGATGTTACGAGGTTTGCATAATGTGCTCCGATACACCTCACCTCTTCAGTTAGTTTTATGGAGACTGCATCCTGAGGCAGTGAGAGATCTCAAGTTTTCTAATTACTCCAAACTATGGCAAGAGGACTTTTAATTCTGGGTAGGACCACCCAAGCCAGACAGGTCAAAAGGCAAAGACCAGCTGAGAAGCAATCTATTGGCCCTTTGGTTTGGGCACTGAGGGATAGGCCAATAAGCCATCCTCAACAAAGAGTTAAGTTATAGAAACACAGTTATAGAAGCACAAAAAATTATATACTCGGGCATTCAAGATAATGAACGAAGAGGACAGAGGCCAATTTATGCCCTAAAAGACCTCTATCATCATGGGAATCCTTCAGAGCCCTTCAGATTCTCTGTAGTACTCCCTGTGATGTTGCACCTTTTATATGCAAAGAAGATACTAACTTCATTTTATTTTCCTGTTATTGAAGTATTGCATAAAGCAGCACACACCCCTGGGCTTCAAAATCGGGTTTACTCCATACTGAGGAGAACATGCTAGAACTAGCAGTGAATGAACACATTGTAACTGCATAATAAAAATCTGCAGCTTTTCTGTATTTCTGATACTTTGTCTCACCTAGTTAGTTACAAGCTAAATCAGACTACAGAAAATACTGCTCCACCACTCTCTTCCTCTTCAGTCCAGTTTTTAATACCCAGCTCTTTACAACCATTGCCTTCGATTCTTTCTTCATAATTATTGCTGTTCTGGTTTCCACCCTCTCAAGGACACCCAATTCATTCTCACCCAAGGTTTCTCATGATTTTTCTTGGCCAAGTCTCAACATGCTGTGTTCATGCTATAAATATGCTATATTTCTTATCCTTCCACAACTTGGTTATGCTCTTCTGCTTGACATCTTTTGTTCTCTTGATTTTGTAAAACCACACTTTACCTGCTTCCAGGGTGGATAAAAATCAACAAATTAAAAAAAATAAAAATAAAAACACACATGTTTTATTTAAATCAGATTTTTGTTATTTAATCTTTTTTTAAGATGATTTTAAAAATAAACATAAATATAGTTTTAATTTAAAATATGTTAAAGCTCAAAGATATCATAATGGGATAGGGATTATAACTTCTAATTATATACTATTTGAGACAATATATTCACATAACCTTTTATGGACTATATTAGGGGCCCAGTTTTATGTGGCTCCCAGAGGCTCCTCTATAGATTAGTAAAGATTAAAGAAAACCACTCTACCCAAAGGGACTCAGTGCTCAGTCTAAAAGATTCCATTAAGCATCTATGTGATGCTTAGTTTCAGTTCTCAAACTGTGGATTTGTCTCTCCAGAGATCATAGGCAGACAAGGTTCTTTGGGTAGATATGATATCTTTTATTAGACCAACTAAATAGTTGATAAAAATGTTATTTGCAAGTTTTCAGGTACAAATGCCTTTCTTCAGGCACAGGGAGAGTTTGTCGTCTCCAGAGATAACATCCTTGTTAACAGCAGTATATGGAAATGAGAGATAACAGACCTGACTACCCACCCATCATCCCAATTGTCTCTCTGCAAGTTGTGTACACGCAGTCAAGCTCTTACCTTTCTCTAAAAGTGTAGAGTTTCAAGAAGTTAAATGAATAAGGGATAGCAAACAACAAGACTGCACTTTTTGTTATGCGGGCCGGGAGCAGTCCGAGGCCCTCGGGGGCGCGCAGCGGGCTGTGGCCAGCAGCCCTGGCACGCAGGTCGGGGAATGCAGGCCGGTGGACTAGAATTAGGCACGGACGCGTAGCGGTTGATTAAAGATTATTTTACTTACACCGTAGATGGTCGCGGTGCAGGCAGGAAAAACTTGCTTGCGTTGCAGTTACAGACAGACACGTGGAACAGGTACACTGGGGCATGCACAGGTAGGTACTCAGAATACTGTAAACGGATTCTGGTACAGACAGCCCTGGTGCAGTCCCGGGAACTAGTGGATGATCAGCTGATTATCAGCCAGCTCTAGAGGCTGCACTGGGGCCAGTTCAATCCCTGCTGTGGTCCCAGAACCAGCTGACAATCAGCTGCTAGTGGTCAGCTGCTGGGGACCACACCAGGATGGTTGGAGACTCCAGTGAAGTTCTGCCACACATTCAATTTAAGGCTCAATGGAAATCGGTAACAAAAATATTACACATCTCTGTAGTAATTTTGTAGTTGGTTTCCCTTTCTGCAGTGTCATTAGTTCCTGAATGTCTGGCCAGGTTACTATTTAAGACACAATTGCCTTACTATTTAAAACTAATTGCCTCTTTAAGTATAACGTCTACCAAGTGTTTGAAGCTTCCATGTTATGAAGCTCTCAGGACTGCTTGTAGTAAAGCCAGGTGAGGGGGAGATATGGTACATTTGATAAAGTTAAAACTATTCAGATTTTACATAGCAAAGAAGCCAAAGAGGATGTGAGGCTCCATATTATTATTAGTAGTATTTAATTTCTTGCAATTCTGTTTGGAAAGAAACTTACAATGACAATTAAATAAATAGTATTTTGTTTGTTTGTTTGTTTTCCAGTTTTAAAAATCAAACCACACCTCTAAGCCATGGAGCAAATTTCCTCTGGGTTCTTCAGATCTGTCCAATCCACAGATCACAAACCTTTTTATTTTGCTACATCTGAGGGGGAAAATTATTCAATACCTTTAACTCCAGTAGAACAGTTTTGTAGTAAGTTCTCACAGGCCCTAGCAAAGATTAAAATCGGTATATTAAATTGATCTTCCTTGTTACAAATGTACTATTAAGATGAAAACCAGGAACATGTCCAAACAAGAATAAGATAACTGAGTTGGCAGAATGCAATGTTATTCACTTTTATGTTGCAACATAGATAATATTGCATAAAAAACCCACCTCTATTAAAAAAAAAAAAAATATTCTTGACTTTTTATTTACCAGGCAGCAAGAGCTGAAAAACCAGTGAGAGCTTTCAAGTTTCCACCAATTTTAAAAGTACTCAGCACCTTGCAAGATAACATCTGTCTGTATTACAACAGACCCTGAGCTTCCCTGGCATTGTGAGTATTGTCCTTAGTCAGCTCTAATTTAATAAATTTGAAAACAATTTTATTGAAATTAGTGAAAAATTCTAATCAAAATGAAAGGAGGTGATTTTGGTAAGGCTGTAACTACATTAGTAGCCCAAAAAATAATGGATATTCAATTTTAAAGCTGGTTCTTATTGTTAGAAAATAAGTATGAGTCTGAAAAAACAAGTTTTTCAACAACACAAAACATGTATGACGGATATTCACCGAAGTAATCTTTGGTCTGAAAAGTAGGGCAGATAAGCAAACTTGACTTCCATGCTGTTTCCACTGCTGGAGCTACCTCATTTGAAGTTGTCTTGGGTACGTATCTTTGTAGTACACTGCAGCGTATAGTAAAGACATAGTCCAACAGGCCACCTGAAAGTAATTCTCCAGGGTCTGACCTAAATCTCACTTAAGTCGATGATTTCTATGGACTTGGATGGGATTTAGTTCAGGTCATGTAAGTGTCAGTAGTCACATTGCCATGTAAAATGCACTTACAGTAATAAAAAGCTATTCTGCCTATGGGTCAGATCATTTTTCACATTTCATATGTGTGGGCTGAAGTGGTAAAGTACAATCCTAACCCACGCTGATTAAGTCTCGGACGTAACATTAATGCTGAAAGTGGGAAGATTCTGCTCATTGATTTTTTGACTTAATCTTAAAGATGAATTAATGGTGTTACAGACAGATGTCAGTACTTTAGCTAGGTGAAATAAAATCAGTCTTTGGCACAAACATCTACTTGCTGTCTAACAGGCAGTGTAGGATCTGGCCCTACATGTCTACTTATTCTTTAGCAAACATACTCTATCAAGGATGTAGAGTGATCCAAGTCCCTCGGTGAGTGCAAGTTTGTTGAAATGAAATTATACCAACAGGTGGGAGGTATATGGCAGAAACTAGAGTTCTCAGGCTTTGTGGCAGGAAGGGGAGTGTCTTGTATTACTCAACAGCTAATTACAGTTGCTGTTGCCTCCTACACTGCTGCTACAAAGCCTGAAGAAATCACTGGATTAATGTTGGCTAGTATGAGAATCTGTCGGCACTTCATAACATTGCAAAAGTAGATTTGATTATGCATCTCCAGTTTTTCTCATATCACTTGCTGGTTTACGTTGTAAAAAGTCTTTGGAGTAGGGACCACGGCCTACATCTTCAAATGAATGTAGGTGTGTTAATCAAATGGGAGTTAAATGGGAGTTCTGGTTCCAGGTCTGTGTTTCTCTGTGTTAGTACAGGCCCTAACATGAGAGGATACAGATACTGATAGGGGCTTCTAAGTAGTACTGTATTAAATGAAGATACTCATATTGAACTCAGAATCAGCTTAATACAAAGAGTCACCAGGGGCAGTAATTCCGAGAGCTGCCATAACATCCCAAGCTCTACGAAGTGGCTCTTGTTAGAGAGGGAACATAAGTAAAATACAGAGTTTTCCTTTTGTTGGCCCTTTAGCTTAATGTGCAACAGCTCATGACTTTAGCCTGGAGTTGCAAGAGGCATAGACCACCCCTATCTATTGGGGCATTGTCTTGCTTCATAGAATCAGAAAAAGTAGGGCTGGAAGTAACCTCAGAGTACTGTCTAGTCCAGCTCCCTGGCTTAACCATTCTAAGTGTTTGCCTAACCTATTGTTAAAAACAGGTGGTATATCTTGAGGAAACAGTGCCCTGTCTCAGGAGGTGTGTTTTGGGGGGCGCGGGCTGTTCAGCAGCTCCCAGTGAAATGTCAGCCTTGGGTAATTACTGCTTCTGCCCCCCATATATTTATTCTCCTGGGGAATTTCCCAATTCAGTTCCTGCTATGTCAGCCAAGACTGAAGTTGTTGTGCTTTGTCTTGCCCATAATTACTAGATTTTAAGAGTATAAACTCTAAAACATATCTATGTAATGTCATTACTGCCTGACATCACTCATTACATTTGCCTTCTGGTGTTCTGAAATAACACCAATATTGTAGGATATATATATAAGAAACACAAGTGCTATTTATTAATTTAATTACAGTTTTTATTAGCAGATATTTTTTCTGCTAGTATGGTGTACATTAAAATTATTTAATGAATAAAATGTAAAGTATTGGTAACTGAGGTGATGGAATGTATTATGTCTGTAGTGTTCCATATTTATATAAATATATGTAGACGTTAGAACTGATATGTTTACCTTGGTAATGTTTGTATTGTTTTATGTAATTGCTAGCTATTAATAAAGTTATAGCACATTTAAACCAATCCTCTTGGCAAAAAATAGGTTTTACAGTTTCCCAATGTATCCTTATTAGTTTAGTATCTATTTATGCGAAGTGTAGGAACTATCTCCTGTGTATTTATGTAGCATCTAACACAATTAACTCTAATCCTGACTGGGGCCTCTGAGTGCTAATACAAGATTTCATAGACATTAGGGCTGGAAGGGACCTTGGAAGATCATAGAGTCCAGCCCCCTGCCCCAGAGACAGGAAGTCAGCTGGGGTCAAAGGATCCCAGCGAGATAAGTGTCCAAACATTTCTTGAAAGAGTCCAGAGTACGTGCTTCCATCACCTCTGGAGGGAGTCTATTCCAGGCCTTGGGGACTCGGAACATAAAGAAGTTTTTCCTTATGTCCAGCCTAAAATGGTCTTGGAGGAGTTTGTGACCATTTGACCTTGTCATCCCTTGGGGCACTTTGGTGAACAGGCGTTCGCCCAGATCCTTATGCACACCTCTTATATACTTATAAGCTGCCACCAGGTCACCCCTGATCCTGCACTTTTCCAGGCTGAAGAGTCATGGATTTCAGCCTCTCATAAGGCCTGTTCTCTTGCCCTCTGATCATGTGCGTGGCTCTACTCTGGACTCTCTCATGCTTCTCCACATCCTTTTTAAACTGTGGAGCCCAGAATTGGATGCAGTACTCCAGCTACGGTCTTACCAAGGCCAAGTACAGTGGGAAGATGATATCCTGAGATTTACTTGAGAAGCATCTATGGATGCAAACCAGAGTTTTGTTCGCTTTACCAGCTACGACATTGCATTGGTGGCTCATGTTCATCTTGTGGTTAATCATGACCCCCAAGTCCCTTTTGGCCGTGGTGCTAGCAAGTGTAACACTGTCAAGCCTATAAGCATGCTGTGGGTGTCATCCGCCCCTCCCCCCTGAGGTGGAGTACCTTGCATTTTTCCATATTGAATGACATCAGGTTTATATCTGCCCACTTGCTAAGCCTATCCAGGTCAGCTTGGATCACCAGCCTATCCTCAGGTATGGAAGCTGTACCCCAAAGTTTAGTGTCATCAGCAAACTTGGCCAGTCCACTTCTGACACCAGTGTCCACATTGTTAATAAAGACATTAAAGAGAACAGGTCCAAGGATGGAGCCTTGGGGGACACCACTGGTCACGGAGTGCCATAATGATTCGCTTACATCGACTACTACTCTCTGGGTCCAACCTCAGAGCCAATTCATAGATTTCATAGTTTTCATAGACATTAGGTCTGGAAGGGACCTCGGAAGATCTTCAAGTCCAGCTCCCTGCCCCAGGGGCAGGAAGTCAGCTGGGGTCATAGGATCCCAGCAAGATAAACATCCAAATGTCTCTTGAAGACATGCAAAGTAGGTGCTTGAACCGCCTCCAGCAGCAGTCTATTCCCCAGCCAGCGGACTGTGATGTAGCCAAGGCTACAGTTGGCCAATTTTTCCAAGAGGAGATCGTGGGATACCAGATCAAAGGCTTTTTTAAAGTCTGGATATATGACGCCAATCTCTTCCTTGTCCAGGTGATGTGTGACCTGACCAATCTCATCTCTTTCTATGACCAGACAAGACTTACCTGCAACCCACCCGTGCTGGCTGTCCCGCAGGATGTTGCCATCAGCCAGCTTGTCTAGGATGGTCTCTTTGATAATTTTTTCCAGAATCCTTCCAGGGATTGAAGTCAAGTTGATTGGCCTGTAGTTCCCCTGATCTACTTTCCTCCCTTTCTTGAAGATAGGCACCACATTGGCCTTCTTCCAAGCTTCGGGTACTTCACCTGAGTGCCACGAGTTTTCGAATATCCTTGCCAGTGACTCACCTGTGACGCCTGCCAGCTCCTTAAGTACTTTGGGGTGCAGTCTGTCAAGACCAGCTGACTTGAAGATGTCCAGCCTCTAAGCATGTTCCTTTACCAGGTCTACACCAATGCTGGGTATAAATTCACCCTCACCCTGGCCGTCCTGCATCATGTTAGGGAGGGCAGTCCTTTTGGGCTGGTGAAAAACTGACACAAAGTACCCATTAAGCATGTTGGCTTTTTCCTGGGTGTCAGTTGTCAGTTATCCCATTTGGTTTTGCAGGGGTCCAATGTTATTCTTGCTTTTCTTCCAACTCCCCACATACCTGAAAAAGGACTTTTTATTGTCCTTGATATGTGTTCTTGATAAGATATTAAATTGTATATAAAAACATAGAATCATAGAAAATTAGGGTTGAAAGGGATCTCAGAAGGTCATCTAATCCAGCCCCCACTCTGCTTAAACCAGGACCATCCCCAACTAAATCATTCTAGCCAGGCCTTTGTTGAGTCAGACCTTAAAAACTTTCAAGGATGGAGATTCCACCAGTTTTCTCTAGGTAACCCATTTCAGTGTTTCACCACTCTCCTGGTGAGAGAGTTTTTCATAATATCTAAACTAAACTTCTCATGCTTCAGCTTGAGACCATTGCTCATTATTCTGTCATCTACCACCACTGAGAACAGTCAGCTCCATCCTCTTTGGAACCACCCTTCAATTTGCTGAAGGTTGTTACTAAATCCCAACCCCACCCTCAGTCTTCTCTTCTGCAGAGTAAATAAAAACAGCTCCCCCAGTTTCTTCTCGGAAATCATGTGCCCCAGGCCCCTAACCATTTTCATTGCCTTCCACACTGGAGTCTCTCCAACTTGTCCACATACTTTCTGTAGTGGGGGGCCAAAACTGGACATACTGCTCCAGGTGTGGCCTCACCAGTGCCAAA